AATACTCAGGGGCACCCAAGGGAAACCTCCACAGACTTTCCTGATTGCCAGATGTCGCCCTTTCTATGTAACAACCATCTAATCACCACTTCCCTTTGCCAAGAAATGAGAAAAGTATTTCCATTTGGAAAACCAAGCTATGACATGTGAAGCGTATTAAGGACTGCCTCCTCTGAATCCACATGAGCTTTCCCCATCTTAGTTTGTTTTTCTTCAAGATAAAAACCACACAGCCGTGTTTGTAGTGAGGTCTAACGAGTGTCCGTGCTGGCATAACAAGGCAATTTCACTTGGGTTGTCTCAGCTTCATTATACGTAAATTATGGTGTAAGTAATCTTTCAAAAGGTATGATGTGTGCAGCCAGTGTTTATTTTTTTAATACTTCGGAATATTTCATTGTTTATTTTAAATGGTGATTTATGATTGGGTGTTTAACATGCAAAATAATGCTTTATCTGCAGGAACTCTGGGGAAGAGGGGCGGGGGGTGGGGGTTACGGTGGATCTCCTTCCCTGGAGCAGAGAGCTGATGTTAGTTATGCAATTAAGAAAAAACAGTCAAGGGGAATTTCATTCTTAGCTGAGCAGGAATTTAAATAAAGCATGCCCACCCCAAAGTTCAGCTCTTCTGACAGAGCTCCGTAGCCTTTTGAAAGCATATCAAATCACCATGTTATCATTTTAATTTCATAGAAAGGTAAATGACAGGTTGCTTTTGGCTCCACTTTGTGGACAATTCTGAGCCCTTGAAATGTTCACAAAAGTCAGAATGCCAAGTTTAACCTCTTGGATGTGGAAAGAAAGATTGTAAAGATTGCATCCATTTCGTGAACTTTAAAATGCCATCGAACATCTCAGAGGCTATACCTTAGCTGCACCATTTAAATAGAAACAGACAAATAGAACCATATGTTTAAATGTGGTGTTACCCTTGAGACATGAGTATCAAAAACACATGTTTTTCCTCCTCCATCCAACTTTCTCATGAATCAGTCAGTTTCAGATCATCTGGTGCACAGGTCTTTTTCTAATAGTTTTCTGTAGGACAGCTTCAAGTAATACAGTAAGTAAGACCCGTAAAATTTTAATGAATACTCTATTAAGCCAGTTTTCTTTTTGGTTGTTAGGAACTTGGACTTTCTTAAACCGTAGAAAACTAGGCACAGTTTGTTTCATTGAATCTAAAGGTAGATCCTCTACTCTGTTAGAAGTAATAATAATCATAAAATTATGCCCCACGGGCTTCTCTTAGCATGTAAAATTATAATGCCGTTGGAGATGTTGGGAAATTAGTGGGAAAACTCTGGATGTTGCCACGCATCATTCGTATCGGTAAATTACATATATCTGTATATCTACTCATATATATCCTTCTAATATAAAATACGCTGAAGAAAGATTCAAAATGATCTATGTTGAGTAGACAAGTACAGGTAGGCAAATGTGCTCTCTGCAGGGGGGGGACCCTTAGCTATTTCATTCAAGTCTGTTTCGGGAGCATCCCGAATGCCACTGTTTTTTATAATGGAAGCCCACTTACTGTGATTTTGAAGTAAGATTATCTACCACAGCTGGACTGCACGTGAGAGATGTTGCAGGGAGGCATCAGGTGGTGGTGGTGTACCTGATTGGTACCTGATTGTATCTCAGAATGTTCTCTTACCAGATGTGATGTTTATAAGTTGTATACATTTTTAGTAAATTTCATATAAAACTTATAAATGATGGATTTAATAAAATTTTTATAAATTGCAAAAGCCTTAGGAAGAAGTTGCTGGAGTTTCTGCTGTGGGTAGTAATCTACTTAGCAGACCAGTTCACAGAAATTGATTTGACCTATAATATAGTTAGATTATACTAATTTGCAGATGTAGAAAATAATGCTGTTAAATTATTTTTTACTATATGATGGAAACAATACATTCAAGGGTATCAAATTCTTCTTAAACAGACAGAAACCCTTTTTTAACCTGGTTGAAGGTTCTGACCATTTGTTGAAGGTGGGAACTTGCTTTAGGACACAAATAATGGCTGATTTCTCAAGTCAGTGGTTTGTGCCCCTGTATCCACTATAACATACAAATGCTGTGTTCACACAGGTGGTGTGATAGGCTGCAGGTGATGTGCAATTCCGAGCTGGTGCACCGTATTTGACTAGTCCCTTTCTCTTCCACGTAGAATGCATATCCAAATGCAAATGTGAGTGATATTGCACCGGGAATAACTTTGAATCTGATTTCTCTTATGGTTATAAGGAAATAGTTTTTTTAAATGATAGCTTAACCACTGTAGTCAACTCACTAGAAATACCTTGGGGTATATTCTTGAGGTTTGCAGATTCACTGGACCCTGGTTAATTCCTGGCTTCTGAGTTAACACATGCTGATGTGGGCAGTGGTAAAGGGAAGCTTATAAGGAAACAGCTAGGAGAGAAGGGAAGGGGAAAGTAATGGAGGCTGGAGAGATGGAGAGTAAAGGGAATGTTTGCTCCAGTGGAAATGTCACTGTGGTACTCTTTCCCACACAATGGAGAAACTTTGTAACCATTTAGGTCCATTTACCCTCTGCTGTTTTTTATTCTACAGTTGTTATACTTATTGCGTCTACACACATTATGAACCCTACTTACCATTTATAATGCTCTTCATTCCTTCCTAAAGATTCAAGTTTCCCTGTGGTATACCCTTTTAGCCTGAAGAACTCTGTTGAGTGTTTCTTGTGCAGGTCTGCCAGTGATGAATTCTTTTATCTGAAATATCTTTATTCACCTTCAGTCCTAAAACATATTTTCACTGGATATAGGATTCTGGGTTGACGGCGTTGTTTGTTTTCTTAGAGTTTAAAAGATGTCATATCATTGTTTCTGGTTATTGTAGTTTTTGATGAGAAGCCCGTGGTCATTCAAATCATCCTTTCCTTGTATATAATGTGTAATTTTCTGTCTGCTTTCGAGATTTCCTCTTTGGTTTTCGGCAGTGTGACTATGATGTCTCTAGACTTTTTTTTGTATGTGTGTGTATTTAACCTGTTTGGAGTGTGCTGTAAATTTATATCTGTTACTAAATTTGGGATGTTTCAACCATTTTTGCGAATATTTTTTTCTGCTCCATTCTCTCTCCTCTCCTTCTGGAACTCCAGACACCATACCGTAGACCTCCTGAAACCATCTCACTAGTCCCTGAGGTGTGGTTCTTTTTTTAAATCATTTTTTTCTCTCTGCTTTAAGTTGGATAATTTCTATGCATGTGTCTTCAAATTCACTCCACATCATACAACTCCATTCTGCAGTTAAACCCATCAGCAAGATGGGTTTTTTTTAAATTTCAGATATATTTTCCAGTTCTTGAATTTTCGTTTTGTTCTTTCTGTAGTTTTTATTTCTCTGCTGAATTTTCCTACTTTTTCATTCATTACAAGTGTTATTTTCCTTTATCTCATTGAACATAGTTGTGATAGCTGCTCTAAAGTTTTTCTCCAATAATTCCAAAGGTTTTCTTGGAATTGACACCATCGACAGTCTTCCCCTTGAGAATGGCTCACATTTGTACATGTTACATTGTGGAGACGCTGGATTCTGTTATGTTCATCCAAAGAGTGTCGATATTTTTCTTTTAGCAGGCAGTTAACTTGTGGTCTTTGGCCCGCGGTAGGTGGCAGCTGAAGTCCTCATTCTCTAGCTGGGCTGCTGCGGGTCCATCCTCACACACATGGTGCAGGGCTTACCAGAACTTGGGCAGGGTTTATACAGGGTTTGGGTCTCTCCTTCTTGAGCGCTGTCCTTTTCAGGATGCCTTCTTAACTTCTCAGGTCTCTGGTTGCCAAGGTTTTGTCCTCCGTTTGATCAAGCCAAAAAAATACCCAAATTTTCCCTGAGTTTTAGCTTCCCACCCCACATGCACCTGTGCTCTGCGCTCAGGCTAAAGCCCTGAAAAGCAGCTGACTTACCCTGTGTTGGTCCCTTGTTCAAAATTTCATCTCTCCTCCTAATCGGCCTGCTTTTATTCACTCTCCAGAACCTTCAGGCAGTCGTTGGCTTCTATTTGGTCTGGAGTTTATGTTGGTTAGGAGCTCAGAACTCCATACCAGACATAATCTTTCCAGTGGAGGTTTGCGTTTTGAACTCATGGCACCATTTCTCTACCTCAGGCAGAGATGTTAGTCTTGGGTATTTATGTTAGGAATTGCCTGTTGGCTGTTTCTTAAATTCAGATAATTTAGGTACCCTTCAGTACCTTATGTGTTACAGGTATTTAAAAAAAAAAAAAAGCACTTGAATGGAGTCAGAATGCTTGGGTTCCAGCCCCAAGCTTGATGATAGTTTTGTTGTTAGTGCCCTCGAGTCAATTCTGACTGCTGACAACCCTGTGGGCAGCAGAGCGGAACCCTGCCTGATCTTTTCGCTCATCCTCTCATCTTCTGGTGCTGAATCAGACAATGCTTTGCTGCTGTTCACAGGGTTTTCATGGCCAATTTTATTTTTCAGAAGTGGTGGCCAGGTCCTTCTTTCTGTTGATGATAATTAGCTGCCTAATTATCATTATATTGTAATTAGAAACCATTATGTTATAATTATCCAATTATTATTATATTTTGCTAATTGTTATCATAATTAGCAAGTCATGTGAATGCTTGGCCTGTAGGATGAGGGGCCCGGCCAGCCTCAAAGGTCCTTTTCCTGCTTATATCCCATAGGCCTCTAATTATCTCAGTATTTTGAAGTCTCCAAGTTAATTGGCTTTGTAGGATTCAAAGGATTAATTTCATGTAAAATGTGGTGAAAAGGATATCCTGCTATTGGAAGACGGTATGGTCATGTGGTATTGATAATATTTTTCCTTTTTATGTCAGATTCCTTTAAAAATACTCCATCCCCACTTTCCCTTATGCCCCAGTTTTTCCTGGGCACAAGTTATTTCATTCAAAACCAATAACGGAAAAGCACTATATTTTCAATCTAACCTATCACATTCAAAATGTGCTTTTGTTTGTTTGTCTCTTAGGAAAAAGTGCTGCAAGGGGTATAAATTTGTTCTTGGACAGTGCATCCCAGAAGGTAGGTAGTATAAAAGATGATGTGTTCTCACCTTATCCATGACTAATCATGAGGTGTCTATAGAGTTCAGATGTATGTGGAGTGTATGTGTGTTACCTGTGTGTGTGATTTCTATTTTTTGGCAGCAAGTTCTTCTAATGCCAGTTTGGTTACATGTAGCGTACTCTATCTAAATCATTACACATCATGTACACATGCATTGAGGAATTCTCATATTTCAGTTTTTATGCTGGAGAGGCTACCACCTGCTTTTCATGAGCTAACTCGAAGCCCCTTCATATGATCATCAGCAAACACCACACTCAGCCCAGCACTGAGGAGACACAGCCGTGTGAGACGTGGACCTGGCCCTCGGGGTGCACCCTCTCGAGCTGGTGACATGGGATGTGGATAGCCTGGAATCAGAGAGCTCTGGGTTTTAATCATGCCTCCCCATTGCCTTAGTCCATTTGGGCTGCTATAACAAAAATGCCATAGACTGGGTGGCTTAAACACAGGCATCTCTCCCTCCCAGTTCTAGAGGCTGGGAAGTCCAAAACCAAGGCATCCGAAGATTTAGTGTTTAGTGAGATCTTCCTGGTTCACAGACAGCCATGTTCTTACTGTGTCCTCACAATGCAGAAGGGGTGAGGGAGCTCGCTGGGGCCTCTTTTATAAGGGCACTAATTTTATTTATGAGGGCTTCTCCTTCATCTCCCAAGGGCCCCACCTCTTAACACCATCACATTGGGGGTTAAGATTTCAACATATGAATTTCAGGAGGACACAAACATTCAGTCCATAACATACATCCCACTAGCTATGACCTTGGGCAAGTTACTTCCTAAAGCTTAGTTTTTGCAGGAAAGTATTAATACTTGACTCAAATGGTTGTTTTCAGAATATTACCACATGTAAAGTACTTGGAACAGAGGCTGGCTCTTATTAAGTGCTTGATAAATGGTGGCTGCTGTTATTAATAGTAACTGCAATATGTCAATAGAGGCACTCAGTGCGGCAAGTGTTTCAGGAGACGCATAGCACAGAGGAGCAGGGCAGTCAGAGGTCTCAAGAAGGCGCTAGATTGTCAAGGAAGGCTGCCCAGGACTTAGACAAGTAGAAGGAAGAGAGCTGCAAAGGATTCCAGGCAGAGCACACAGAAGACACTAGGAACTATTTGAAGAGCATGAGGTTGGTCCGCCCAGGGCTGGGGAGAGGTGAGTGGGGAATATGAGAGAGTTTTCTTCGCTGTTGCCCAAGAAGCTAGGTCTCTACAAAGGACCTGGAGCCCAGCCAAGCTAATTCATGCTGCATTATCTCATCGAGAGCAATTGCTTTATCAGTTAGAAATACATGAATCCCTCTTGTGCATTGCTTTCTTTGGTGGAAGGATGGAAGAGTTCATTAAGCCAGAGCTGACCTTTGGGAAAGCTGCTCTAGGAAGGTTGGTTAGGAAATCGCTTCATATATGATGGTTTATGTGGCCTTGGGTCTCTCCAAGACTGACTCTCTCACGACCAGCCAATTCCATCGGTTAGAGCTTGGCGGGAAAAACCACAAAGGTCAAAAAATTGCATTCTTTTATAAGCTGACTTTTCTCAGTTCTTTATATTTCAGATGTGTCCTTTATATTTCAATTTGGCAGATACTGAAAGAAAATTGAGGCCAATCAATTTAAGATCCCAGCTAAGGACCTTGCTCAACCTAGTTAAAAACACATCACGTGGATGCCACATGCCTAAAGTTTCTTTAAACGTTAGGCATTGTGGTTTCAAACATCCAGCCTAAAATCGGTCTCCTTCACCCCACGGTGAGCCTGGAGCACCTGTGGTTAAGGTGCCCAAGACCCGAGTATTTCCAGGAAGGGTGTCAAGTGCTGAAAGTTACTTTGCCATAACTAACTGTCTACTCGATTGCTTTTCACCAGAACACTTTTTCAAGTTGATTTGTTTTAATCTGTGGAAATAAGTCAGAGTGTGAGTGTGTGTTTTTTACTAAAGATATCTTTAGTCGTAAAGGTTTCTGTTACCCAAAAATGCAAAGCATAAATGTAGGATTTCAGAAAAAGTGGTGTATTCATCAGGATTCTCCAGAGAGATTTATTTTAAGGAATTGGCTCAAGAGATCATGGAGGCAGGCAAGTCCAAAATCTGCAGGGTAGGCTAACAGGCTGGAGACCCAGGGAAGAGCCACAGTTTGAGTCTGAAGGCCATCTACTGGCAGAATTCTCTCTTTATCAGGCGAGGTCTGTCTTTTTTCTATTAAGGCCTTCAGCTGATTAGATGAGGCCCACCCACGTTATGGGGAGTAATCTGCTTTATGTTACTCAAAGTCCACTGATTTAAATGTTAACCTCATCTAAAAAATATCTTCACAGAAACATTTAGAAAAATGGTTGGCCAAATATTTGGGTACTATGCCCTAGCCAAGTTGACACATAAAATTAACCATCACAGATAGTACAAAAAGACTAGAATTTCTAAAAAAGAATTCTAACTGAGTAGAAGCTACAGTTTAAAAGAAGGTTGTTGCCTTATATTTGTTGCTCTATGTCAAAGGTCAGCAACCTGTGGCCTTTGGGCCCAATCTGGCCCACCGCCTGTTTTTGTAAATAAAGTTTTATTGGAACACAGCCATACCCATTCACTTAAATATTGTCTATGGCTGCTTTTGCCCCACAGCAGCAGAGTTGCAACAAAAGCCTGCAAAGCCAAAAATATTCTCTGGCCCCTTTATAGAATAAGTTTGAAACTCCCTGCTGTAAGTGTTATCTTGATTGGCCGGGCAAGAGGGTAAGCTGATTTGTTGTAGTTCACTGATTATTAATTGAGTACACACTGTAAGAAGAGAGCGGTGCTGGTTACTCCAGGGAACACAGTTCCTGCCAGATACCAACCAATTATGAGAACACTAGTGATAAAAGAAGCAGAAGAGCAGGAAAAGCTTTTATTACGTGTCAGTTGTTGTACTTAATGCATCTTCCAATTTAATCTTCGTAAAAGCACCATGAAGTCCATGTTACTGTTATCTCTATTTTATAGGCAAGGAAAGTGAGGCTTAAAGACCCCAAAGTCGCAGGGATAGTGGCAGAGTTGGGAGGCTTGGCTCCAGAACCTGTACTGTCCACCAAAATGCTTCATGCCTGCAAGAGTAGAGCCTGGCACAGAAGTGGCATTCAATAAACATGGCAGAGTTCTGAGCAGGAGAAGTATAGAGTCCCATGGGGTTGACAGGATGGGGAAACCAAACTGTTGAGGAGTCCAAGGAAGGCTTCTGGAAGGAGTGCCGTTTGCATTGGCACATGAGAAAGTAGATAGGGTATCAATGGTTATAAAGTGTTGAGCGTAAGAGTGGGGGAGCTGGGTGGACATTACAAGAAGTAAAAACAGAATAAACAGAAGCCATGGATGTGATAAGGGGTGACAGGAAAGATAAGAAGCCATGGATATGATAAGGGGTGACAGGAAAGATAAGCCATGGGTGTGATAAGGGGTGGCAGGAAAGAGAGTATAGTCTTACTGAAGTATAAGGAACTCACAGATGAATCTTGAAGTTGGAAGTGTAGTCTCAAGGGATATAATGCCAGACCTCAAATGCAAGAGTGAGCCATTTACATTTAATGTTGATTAGTATAGAGTTTGAAGGTTTTTTGGGCAAGGTGGTGACTTTCACAGAGCTGTGCTTTGGGAATATTGTTAGCCAGCCTGACAGGGTTGTGTCAAATGGACTTAAGTGGGGAGAGTCTGGGGATAAAGATGCTCTTTACAAGGGAGGTTCTGAAGGTCTGAGCTAGGATGGTGCAAGGGAATAGGACAGATAGAAAACGGACGGACTGTAGAGCTGATTCTGCATGACAGAAAGCCCATAGGCTCCGGAAAACAGGCATCAAAAATGGAAGGAAAAAAGAAATTTATTAACCTTGTTACCTCCAGAAACCCCACTAAGTGAAAAAAAGGGAGGAGGATTCACAAAGACGTAAACCCACAAGGACAAAAAAAAAAAAAAAAAAGAGGAAAGAGGGGATAACAGCAACAAGTTTTGGAATCCGGAGAACAGATAGAGAGCTTGTAAGCAACTTAGCAAAATGGGAAAGGTGAATCCTTGACCAGCATGAGGGAAAACGAAGGAGCAGCCCAATTTATACCAAAACGAACAACAATGAGAAAAACTAAGTCTCCGGAAATAGATGTTCTAGAAGTAGTGAAAGTGATGTCAAAAACAGAAGGATTGACTGAAAGTCTGTTTATGAAGAAGTCCGACTCTGCCATCTTGTCCTCCACTCCACGTGGACGGAATGTTGCCCCTTCCACAGCCGAGCAGACGACCAGAGATGAATTGTTCTGAGAGGGCACCCAGAGGTTCTTGGGGCTGACGGGTGCCAGTCAGAGATGAAGGGAGGGATCCAACGCTGAAAATGGAGGGATTTAGTAAAGAATGATACATTAAATGTTGAAACACTGAGCTGCCTTCTTCACTTGCGTTCCAGGATGCTTTTACTTTCAGGCAAGGATTTGGAAATGTCTCCTCTGGACGTTCTAGACAACCCAGGAAAAAGTCCTAAAGAAACTGAGGCTGGAATGCAGCAGCCAAATCACTTAAATGAAGCCCAGGCTTTATCAAGTCACCTGCATTCAAAGAGCTTCTATTTGGCTGTTTTTAGTCCTTCATGAATCAGTTAGAGCAGACATCCAAGAGGAAAAAGGTCACTAGACATTAGGGGAAAACCTACAATAAGAAACATACAGAAAAAAAGAGTCTTAGAGAAAACACAAACCACACAGAGAGAAGAAAACTTCGAAATAACTACCGTTTATACCTCAGCGAGCTATAAAGATGACATAGCATCCATGAAATAAGAACATGGTGTTATTAAAAAGGAACATGCAAAGGAGAAATAAAGAACCCTTGGAAATTAAAAACGTAAAATGAAAACAGTAAAAGGGTTGGAAGATCAGAGCAAGGAAATCTCCCAAGAACTAGAGCAAAAGATCAAAGAAATGAAAAACAGTAAAAACGAAAAAAAGATGAGAATATTAGAGGGTGGTCCAGGGGATGCCACATCCTGGTCATTGAGGGCCCACACAAAACGGAGAACAGAGGAGAGAGAAAATCATTAAAGGTGGAATTCCAGAAAATTCTCCAGAATTGAAAGGTATGAATTTCTAGATAAAAAGGGCCCACCAAAGATTGAACTGGTCCCACATGAAGAGTCACAAAGTAGCTCATGGAAGGGGGAGTTCAAATCTAAGAGAAAAAGCTCAATATTTGGCACCCAAAAATAGACACGATAATTATTTTAATTCCAGGGAAAACAAAAGGCGCTTCAGGAAAGAATAGGCAATTAGAGCATGTTCCTAGGCTCAGCAAAGAATAGCTTTCGTATTGTCATTATGGTGCAAATACTCAAAATTTGTCAAACCAAGATTTCACTATAACTATATTGGCAAGAGGGAGGCATTAGGAAGTGTGGGTATGGTTGGGGGGAACAATGAAAAAGCTGAATGCATCCCTTCCATGGCTGGAAATCAGTGGAGAGAACTTAAAACAAAAAGCAGCAGCAACGCAAGCTGGCTCTTTAGAGATGCAGAAGGAAATAATAAGAGAATCAGCTAGAGGAGTTGGAGGTGGTACCTAAGGGAACAGGAGTGGTGGAGGAGATCAGAGGCTGCTGCTTTTCAAGACAAGCCTCGTCGGGCACCACAGTCAACACAAGGACTTCTGATGGCCTCTCTGCCCTTGTCCTCCTCTCCCTGGCAGTTGCTGAATGGTGGCTACAGCTGGCCGAGCAGGGCAGCCCACAGCCCATCATGGCTGAGCCCTTGCTCTTGAGCAAAAAGAGCCCAGAACATTGGTTCCCTGGAGGTGATGCTTAGTTAAAGAAAACACATTTGACCAGGGACACCCACAGGCAAAACAGGCCTGGAATCACAGCTGTGGGGAGGGGTATCAGCAAGGGCAGCCTTCCAGGTCATCATGTGAATGGCATGATCTTTGTCACACTGACTCTGCCTGCATCGGGGGCTGACAGCCCACCCTTCCACCTTCATATGTGGCAGAGCAAAGCCAGGCTTACTCCGTGTCTAAGGACGGTTTATCTGTCAGCACCTGGGGAAGATAGTGTGGTGATGAATGAGATGCTGGATCTAGTCTGGAAGTAAATGTTCAGCCTGAGCTCCTGACTTATAGCCAAGGTCCCTTCAGAGGCTCGTTAAATATCAGCTTGTTCATAGGGCCTGAGATGCCCTAACTCTTTCTGAGGAATAGAGCATCCACCCTAATTTGCACAAGCTGAGAGCTGGAATAAGCTCTCTAGCCATTTGACCTTACCCAGCACCTTCTCAGCATGCAGAATCAACCCCCCCGGATGCACGCCTACAACACACACGCACACATACACACACACATGTATCAGCTCTCTAATAACTCATGTGCATCTCTGTTCAAAGGCCTTTCTCACAATCCTCCGAGGCTGCCTGACTTCTAGCCCTGCTCTCACGTTACGGTGCCAGCACCCTCAGCAGGGCTGGCTGTTGTTCAGTGATGAGCTGGAAGGAATTCCCTGTCTCTCCAGCAGTTGATGAGAAAGAGGAATCAGGCCCCCAGGTAATGCTGCAGAGTCTGGCCATCCAAAGCATCTTTGCTCTCTGTGTGAGTAACAAAGACCAAAGGATGGTGACCAGGGGAAAATCCCAAGTAATGTTTGCTTCTAACCACTGCAGTGCTAGGCATTCTTACCCATTAAAGAACTCTTAGAGGACGCCCGATGGCCTGAAGAGTTCATGCTCCTCTAACTATAGCTGTTCACTCTTCACACGTGCCCTTAGCAGAGTGCAGCCCAGAAAGTCTGTTCCAGACCAGGGCTGGAGACCCTGCCTCCGTCTGGAAAGGGCTGTAATTGACAGGAGCTCACACTTTTCTTTTTCAGATTATGATGTGTGCGCCGAGGCTCCCTGTGAACAGCAGTGCACAGACAACTTCGGCCGAGTGCTGTGTACTTGCTACCCAGGATACCGTTATGACCGGGAGCGACACCGGAAGCGGGAGAAACCGTACTGCCTGGGTGTGTGGGCGTTGCGCATTATTTTCTAGCTCCTGGGGATACACCTCAGTTTCTTTGATCTTTGCTTTCAGTTGCTTTGATCTTTGATTCTTCCCTTATGTCCTGACGCTTGTTAGATGGAGTTGCATTGGCATTATCCTAGGGGTTGCTGCCTTTCGCAGTGATTATTGGAACAAACTATAACCAAGGAATTTTTCAGGGACTTGGCACCAGTCAGATCCTGATCGGCAGTGAGATATAGGAGCAGGAGAAGGGGAAGGTTACTAAAGGAAAAGGAGAATAATGTAAAATGGAAGATAAGAGGGCAGAAATGTAAAAATGCAAAAAAGAGTGAAACAAGAGTCAGCATTCTCTCCAAAGACGACCAGGAAGAGAGACAGGGAAAGAGGAAGTATGCATATGGCAGACAGGCTGGAAGTGAGGCAGAGGGAGCTGAGGCGGCCGCCTGGGCTGCAGCTGAGCAAAGCCAGCACCATTCATCACCACCAGCTTGCTCCCTTCCCCTCCAGACTCTGAGGGTGAGTCTAGAAAGCTGCGTTTACACAAATGTCTCTGTCGAGTCCCACGCACAGTCAAGTTTGAGCATCAGCTGGAGGACGAACTGAGGAGATTGGCGCGTGAACCCAAGTGGACAGCAAACAAGTTGTGATGAGCAGCCCCCTCTGCTGCCCCAGCAGGGATCCTAGAGACACCATTTATGAGAAGGTCTAGACATTAGGTCCCCTGGTTTCTCCCCAGTGGCACCTGGGGTGGCACCCCATGCTGGCAAAGATTGAAACTGAGACCACCAAGTGAATGGAGAGGAAACCGGCAGCCTCTCCTACAGACAGCGTGGTATGCCATTCTGTACCACTGAGCACCCAGGCACAAAGTCTCGTATTTCCATTTTTGGTGCCACAGTACCCTGTTCTTTTCATCTGGGGGTTTGGGGATACGCAAAGCTAGCATTCTGCTTTCAACCTTTTCTTTCCTACTCTGATGTAGAGGCAGTTTCATGCTTAGGTTTAGGGCAGGGGCCCCTGGAGAAAAGTGGTCAGCCTGAGGAATTGCAGCTGTGACATCTTAGCTACAGATGACATAGGACATACTGCCAGGAGGACATCCGAATCCAGGAGGACAATGCTTCCCTTGGCACACAGAAGGCCTGCCAGAGGGGGTCCTGGGTGGCTTGTCCAGGGAGTGACTGGGATGCTGTCGGGATCCTGAAGCGCAGGGCTGGGCTCTGTCTGCCTGCCACATGTGCAGTCTGGGGCTGTGTGTCATGGCTCCCTCCCACTGCCACCCAGAGTCTTCAGCCAGTAAACAGGAAACGGATTTGGGCCTCCCTCTCCTCGCCTGGTGGGAGAGAGTTTTACTTCCACCCTATTCCGTAGGGGAGCAAGTCCATGATGTGCACAGTTCACGTGGGCTCTTACTGGTTACTTGTTTGATGGGCTCATGGCTCATTTCCACAGCTCAGGAGGGGTTTGTTTGGGTCCTTGATGAAGCTGAAACTTCCTGGGGAAAACTTTCTCCATTAGACTCATCACGACTATTTTCTTTTCTCAGAAGTGGCTTTTCTCAAGTACCGTCACAACTCGTAACTGGGAAGGAGCCATTCTTAAATGACCTTGGGTCACTGTCCTACTGTTTGGAACCCACAGCCATGAAGAGGAACATAAAACCCCTCGGCACCCTGGGGTCCTTGCAGAAAATCACTTCTGTGCTGCTTGCTTTTCAAAGCATGTTGCTGTCAGTTCTCTCATTTTCTCTTCTTTGGAGTCCTGTGAAGTGTTTAGGGCAGGCTTCATTATCTTGTATTATAGGTGAGAACTGTGAAGGCTAGCATTGCTTGCACCAAGCCACGTGACTTGGCGGTGGGAGAGCCACAACCAGGAACCCCATCACTGATCCATTTGTAAACCATGGTGACACTGCCTGAAGTGCTCCTGTCATGTGATGGCCCAGGTTTCTAGCTTCCTACTTTATCTCAGGCTTCTCCGATAGAGGTCTAGCAAAGTGTCCTTGTAAACGTTGACGGAAGGGCCAAGCCCAATGTCACCTGTTGTGTTGGAAGTGAATTCTTTGAAGCTGTCTGAGCATTCTCTGTCTTTGGTTCAAACCCAGATATCGACGAGTGTGCCACCAGCAACGAGACGCTGTGTGCGCACATCTGCATCAACACCTTGGGCAGCTACCGCTGTGAATGCCGGGAGGGCTACATCCAGGAGGACGATGGGCGGACGTGCACCAAGGGAGACAAATACCCCAATGACACCGGTGAGTGGGGCAAGTAAAATTATCTTCCTCATCAGATGGGTAAGTAGGTAGACAATTGGGAGCCCAACAGGGTCCCTCAGGGAGCAGTAAGCAGGAAGGGGCCTTTGTACAAAGGGGAGGTGGGACCCGGATAAGAGACAGGTAGGATATAGGTCAGGCCGCTTCTAAAGAGACCTAGTGAGAGCGATGCCTGATAGCAGCCAGGGCTGTGAGCTGCTGTGCAGTTGAGGACACTCCACCAAGCAGAGGGGTATGCTCATGGGTGAATCACCAGAACCTGGTTACATGCTTATACCAAACGACGAGGAGCAGAGAGGCCAAAAACGGTGTGTTCTCACAAAGAAAATGCACTGAATGTACATTGGAAACATTTCCATGTAAGGCAATGCCGCTCCAAGTGTATAGCCCATGGCCCTGGGCCTGCCCAGGAACTGTTTCTTATTTGATTCACGATTGGATAAAGCAGAAATTGAGAGTGTTTAGAAACTTTTATACCAATTTGACAGAGAAAAATTTGTCTAAATCCAAAGATTTATGCTTGTATTTTATGTCTTATTTTTCTAATAATTCATTTTTATTGTATTTTGCAAGTACAGTCCACAGTGAAGTGGAAAACTTTTTGAGGCTGGCCTTTCCTCCCAGAGGTGGAGAAGCTGATTTACGTTATGTCAGATTCAGCAGAGATGTCCGATCACTCAGGGACAGGATCAGCCTGAATGTTGGGTTCCTGCCTTATCTAAGTCTGGAGAGGAAGGAATGAAGACAGGAAGAAACCATGTGCTCTTGCACCCTACACTTGTAGGCCAGGAAGCTGCTGTCATCTTCCCGAGCTCAGCGCCCGGCTCTTCTCTCCCTCCCTTGGGACAAGAAAGTGGCAGGAACACCATCTGTCAGGAGATGTCAGCGGGGCCTGGGCCATCTCTGGGTGGGGAGGGGGTCCTAGGGCAATCCCATGTTCCAAGAAATGCAGGGAGATGAAAAGTCTAGAACTGTCTGGGAGCTCAAGAGACAGTGACCCTTGAGTATAGGCTGAGATTCAAAAAAGGGGGGAAGGCAGTTGCCATCAGCTGAGGACAGCAAACAGCTGGGGACCAGTTGCCTCACAGGGAAAAACCGTAAAGCGACATCCTAAGAAACAACTGGGTTGAGTTATGAGGAAGCCACCATATTTTAAAAGTAGATGCAAAATATCGGTTTGGGGCCAGCTCAGGATTGGGCAGTTTGGGATAGTTTGAATGAATCAGAGGGCTTGGTGACACTCTTTAAAGCCTGAAGCATGTGGGGCCTCTCTACACTCAGAGGTGCTTCCAGCAGGGGAAACAGCCTTTTTTGTCATAAGGGTTGATGGAGAAAAAAATTTCAGACTATTTTTTTTATTCAAAATTAAAATCACTTCCTCTTTGTCCCATGGTGGAGAAGGGGGGAGGGGCAGGATATGTAACGCCTCTCTGATTATATCCTTTTTTGAAAGGAGGAATCTCATTGAAAATGACATGCAGTCTTTTAGCCACTGATATATTAATGTGTGGGCTGACTTGAAGTTTTTCGTTTTGGAATTGGATTTCCAGCTCTGCGCCAAGCCAGGCAGCCCACGGGCTGTGGGCTGCTCAGCCGGGCACTTGGTTGTGTCTTTATGTCCCATTTCTATCCGGGTGAAATCCTGTTTACATGGGCATGCAGGGCAGCCTTGAGCAACCCGGGCTAGTGTAACCATCAGAAACAGCGACAACAACAAACGCAGACTGCTGAGTGTCAGGGTGCATCTCCAAATAATAGGACCCAGCCCTGCCCAGGAGTACTTCCCACCTGGCGGGGTAGAGTGGTCCCCCCAGAGACCTGACCTTAACTAGCGGAGACCTGAGGAGTCGGATGGAATTTCCAGAAGCAAGGATGAGATTGTACATGCTGGATCTACCTGTTCTTTGCTCTCAGGCGGCCTCCATCTCTTGCAGTAATTCCTAGGTTCTCCAACCACATCTCTCTTCTGTCCCCACGGCAGTGAGTCACCCACAGTCGCCCTGCTCTGTGGTACCCTAGGGATGGCTCTGAGCCAGAATGCAGTGACAAGGCGGGCCTTGCTGGGAGGCGCTCACCTCCTGCCTCTTGTTTTGAGAGTGTGGACCCAGAGAGGGGCCCAGGCTGAGGCTGGAGCGCAGGAAGGTCTCAGTGCATCTTTGAAATGAACCGTCTGTTGTGCTGAGTTGGTCCTGAGACCATGCTCCTCTCTTTGCTTCCCTGAGAGATGAATTATACTTCTTAAAAAATTTTCAGGGGCCAGCCCAGTGGCACAGTGGTTAAGTTCACACATTGCGCTTCAGCAGCCTGGGGTTCCCCGGTTCAGATCCCAGGTGCAGACCTGTGTACTGCTCATCAAGCCATCCTGTGGCAGGCGTCCCACATATAAAGTAGAGGAAGATGGGCACAGGTTAGCTCAGGGCCAGTCTTCCTCAGGAAAAAGAGGAGGACTGGTGGCAGATGTTAGCTCAGGGCTAATCTTCCTCAAAAAAAAAAAAAAGGAAAAAGATTTTCAAGCACAGTTCCAGTACAAGAGATCGAGAACTTTAAGGGATAACCAGTTTGACTTCTAAGGCTGAGAATTCAGTAAAAAACTTGAGCTGTCATAATTATAAGGGACATAGATGTGCAATTGTTTTTGCTCTTTCCCTAGTATTACTTTCATGTAAATACGTATTTTGTCTCAGCCATTCAGATGTTTGGGGAAGATGTTACTGCACCCACTTCTTAAGGATCCACCTTGTGAGTGCATTAAATGCTCTGAGAGAGATTGCCATGAAGAAAGAATGTTAATTTTGATTAAATCTGCATTTCCCAGAATTATTTTCTTCAGAAACACCTGTAAACATCTCAACGATTACAGTTAGGAATATTCTAACTTATTAGCATTGAAGAGCTGAGCTCTGGCAGTCCCCACTCCCCTCCCCCGAACTGGGTTAGGTCCTCCAGTCAACTTTCAGACGACGATGTTTTCATCGCCAGATGAAGCAGTGGAGGTCCAGAGGGGAGCCAGTTAAATGCTGCGGGCTGCCGAGCATCTAATGAACAAAAACAGGACGGTCCTCCTCCGCTCTGCCCTACTGGGAGAGAGTTTGCTCATGTTTACAGTGACTTCGGTGGGAGATGTCCTTCTCTTTAATCAGCAAGAACTGTCTGGTGGTAGTACCGCTGAGCTCCACTGTAACACAAAACTCACCGCGCAGATCCGCCTAGGTTGCACATTCTCTCCTCTTCCTCCTCCAAATATAACAACTACAAATAGTTTTTTTAAAAAACTGAATACCTCTCTGTTGTCACCCTGCCCCACTGGGCCCCGAGCAGCAGAATTATAAAGGAATTTCTCGGTATTTCATTTTCAGTCACTATTCAGTCACTATTTTCAGGAGACAATTCAGTGTCTCCTGAGTTCACCACATAGGCACAGAGGACTAGCGCTTGGTTTTAATATTCTACTAAGAAAAACATTCCAACACCGGTAACCCAGGACATTGGGGGGTAGGGACTGAGAGGAGTAATTCATACATGTAATTAAGATTACGAGACGGGACAGGCGGCACATTGTATGCCCTGAAAGTTAGAGGCACAACTCAAGTGGTGGGCCACTGAGAAAGCGTTGCAGAGGCTGGCTTTGATGGTTCTAGCAGCAAAAGCAAGTGTCCTGGATTCACTGACAGCTGTGATGCCGCGGAAAGTTCCTTGGCTTGGAAGTTAGGAGAGCTGGTAGCTGGAACCAGCTGAGTGACATTGGGAAGCTCCTGGGCGTCAGTTTCCTCCTCCGTAACTAGATGAGCTCCGAAGAGGCCTTCACCCTTTTTCACAATTGGGTGTGATTTAGCATAGGTGACGTAAGCCCCAGCAGCCCTGTGAGCCCCATGTGGCCCTCATTCCTTTATCCTCCATCTAAGGGAGTGTCCAGCCTTGAAGACATGCCCCACGTCAACACCTTCTCAACAGAAAACCTTCCTTACAGCATCTAGAAGATGAATAATTAACATCAGATAGTCAGCTCAGCAATAAGAAAAGTTGGGGGCCTAGTGAGCCTGCCTCTGGAACAGAGTCAGCTAAGTGGTGTCATCTGTTTTAGGGTAATAAGCCCAGTATTTCATCAAGATCACTTTTTTTGATGAAGAGATAATAATTATTGAGTACAAACACATGGGATCTGAAACCTCCTCTCCCTCGGCCTGTTTTTTTGGTTAAACTTTGCATTGTCCAATGTCTATAACGTTATAGTTAGAGGAATTTAAAATTGAACACAGCCTCCGCTAGTTGTTAGAAAGGCGGGCGGAGAGCAGAAGGGGCCGGCCTGAGCATTGCCTCTGACAGTTGAGAGGTTGCTGTGCACGCACAGACATGGTGACACAGCCGTCTGGCTAATAGGCAAGAATGACACACAGTCCCTTTTTCTCTTTGCAAATATGTGGCTGGAGCCAGTTCAGTCATCCCAGGGAGCTTGTAGCACCAGTGAGGAGACAAATTAAGGACATGTTGGCTCCACAATAATTAGCTTGCTGGTTTCTATTTTCCAACATTTGTTTATTTTCTGATAAAGTGACCATAGCCCCTGAGATCACTTATTACAGTTCAAAGTGCCGGGGACAGCCAGGTGTTTCATATAACTTTCAAGCTCCACTAATCCATAGATCGTGGTGCTCAACCTAGGGAGCTGTAAAAAAATGCTGGCGCTGTTCCCTTGTTGTGACCCCCGATGGGTGGGGTGCAGCCTAGTCGGCGGGATTTTTGAAAGCACCCCCAAGTGGTTGTAATGTGACACAGGACTGAGAACTATTGCCAGGGCACAGACCTGCACTGTCAATTTTAAAAACAAACATATTTTGTTCCTTTGTGACACTACCCGCATGAAGTATTCTGGGAACATTCTTTAGTTTTTCTGAGTTTATTAAATATTATTAATGTGGTATGTAAGGAATTCTATTTCTAATGCTTAGGATGGAGATCCTGCTCAACACCAGTCAAATTTAGAGCTACGCGCCCCCATGTGGCTAATTTGTAATATTACAACTTTTAAATCTGGGTGGGTTGGAGCAAAATGTGATCCTTTGCCCAGCTTTTCTTGGAGACCCATGAGCACAGCATGAATTGAGGGGACTGAAAACATACAGAGTCAGAGATGTCTACCCAGATTTCTAAGTGAATTATTAATGTAGCATATGCAGGATTATCTTAGCTCCACGTTTGACATTACTGCAGACAAATTGCAGAGTGGATGAAGCCCAGTTCAGAAGAGACTGTTCCAGGTCTACACACAAAGGAATCACGTGTTTTTATTTATCTTCAGGCCCTCTGAGAGCTCCTTCCAAAGGATGATGTAAAGAACCCGACCCCACATCTATAATTTTGTGGAGAACTTAGCAATACCAACGATAACAATGATACTAACATTTACGGAGCGCTTGCCGTGTATTAGGCACTGTTCTGGAAACTTACAGGTGTTATTTTATTGACGCCTCACAGCGACCCAGGTCACAAGTGCTGTTGTCATTTTACTGCCTGAGGAGCAGACGATCACAGAAGCTGCGACTTCCAACCTAAAAGGGACTGAGTGGCAGCATCAGGATGCGAATCCTGATGGTCTGACTCTACCAGAGCCCTCGCTGCTCACTCTTGTGTTACCTCCTGTGTCTGTGGAAGCTTCAAAGGCTCTTGGACAAAGTTAATCTTGATCTCTGTGTTCTGATCATTTCAGAAAGGGACAGCAAACGGGCCTGGCACCTTCAGGTAAAAGGTCACTCAGTGGAGCCTCTTCCCCGGAGCAGGGATCATTGAACTTGGCGTGTCCTCAGTCACCTGGAGGGCTTTCTCAAAACCCCGCACTAGGCCCCATTCCCAGGGTTTCTGGTTTCTGAGCACGGGCACCCACATGCTGCTGGTCTAGTGATCACACTGGAGAACCGCTCACCTACAGCGTGCCTGGCAGATGCCTCTCAGGGATCCCCAACAGAACTCCCAATAGTGGGCTCACTGCGGCCCCACAATGCCCGATTCAGACCCTGTAAGTGCACTTCTCTGCACACAGCAATCTGGGAGACCTAAAGCAAATTACTTTCTTTCTCTGGACCTTAGTTTTTTTTTTTTTTTCCCCAAATCTGTAAAGGAGATTGAACCTGGTAAAGAGGTTTATCATCATGAAACTATCAAGTTGCCTTAATGACACCAACAATTGGAAAGTTCAGCTGAGTATGGAAGAGTAGAAATGGAAAGATGGGTTTTTAACTCTTGTTCATGATGACGTGGCTCTGCCAGCAGGACTGGTTCCTTAAAAGGAAGGTCAATCACAAATCGCTAAGCAGGTGTCCTCATTTATTTTGCATTCTCAAAGGCTCACACAAGGCCTGGAAAATGGCAGATGCTCCGTAATGGGAGGAAGGGAGAGTGGGATGGATGGATGAACAGATGAACGGATAAGTGGATGAGAGAGAAGGGTTTATGGCATCTCAGCTAGACAGAGCACTGCTTCACTACTTCAGTCTGCTCGCTTAAGACATGTGTTCCTAGCTTGTGTGCTCCAAGCCACAGGCCTCCCACGAGGTGCAGGGATGGGGGTGTGGCCAGTGAGCTCTGAATGCCCAGCGCTGTGCTGCAGGTGATGGTCTGAGATCTCAGCTGCCAAGTCGCCTGTGGGCCCCCTCACCTCCCAAAGAGCAGAAACGCCGGTCACCATGTATATCACCAGGAAGGGGACTGACCCCGTGGGAGAGAGCGGCTGGGCTGCACGAGGAAGGTGCACCTGAGCGTGGAGCACTCCCAGTGCGCAGCCCATCCATCCATGTGTCACTTTCCTAGGGCTGCTGTAACAAAGTGCCACCATCTGGGTGGCTTAAAGGGCATAAGTGTATTGTCTCAGTTCTGGAGACTCCAATCGGAGATTAAGGTGTCAGCAGGGTTGGTTTCTTCTGGGGCTGTGGAGGAGAATCTGCTCCAGGCCTCTCCCCTAGTTTCTGCAGGTTTGCCAGCAGTCTTGGCATTCCTTGGCTCCCGCTGCATCACCTTGATCTCTGCCTTCATCTTTACCTGGTGTGAAGTTGGTGTCCAAATCTCTCCTTTTTATAAGAACACCAGTCAAAATTGGATTAGGGGCCCCCCTACTCCAGTATGACTTCAGCTTAACTAATTACATCTGCAATGACCCTATTTCCAAGTAAGGTCATGTTCTGAGGCACTGGGGGTTAGGAATTCAATGTATGAATGCGGGTTGGGGACATTTCAACCTATGATACCCCATCTCATGAACATTTGTTGAGCATCTGCTATATGAGATACCAAAAAGCAGCTCCGATTCTTAGATGGCTTACACGCTGGCAGGTACACTAGTAGCACCTCCACAGGGAAGCCTGGAATACCCGCCATTTGAGTGGGACACGTGGTATATGCTGCCTGATCTCAGAGGACTGCAGCATCTATGGATAGAAAGAGTGGGCTTCATGGAACATTCGAACTGGGTCTTAACAGTTGGTAGGATTCCACAAATGGAGACAGCAAAGAGGGCTTCCCAGAACAGAGGAGGAGTAAGAAAAGCATGTGAGCCAAGAAGCCCAAGAAATGACTTGGGAGATGTGTTACTTGACTGTCCTCGGGTGACGTTCCAGGTAGCAGTGGTTGTCTGCTCCCCTGGCCCGACACCAAAGGGCTTCTGAGCTAGGAGAGTTTGCACTTGCCTGGGTGTCAGACTGTCCTGCCCCCCCGCCTCCCAACAAACCCTCATACACCCTCTCACGCCCACCCTGGGCCTACACCTCCCCACCCTCTGCACAGGCCTGGGTAGTCTGCACCTACCTATCAGTAGCAAGCTGACCCAGGTATCTAGTTTCCCCCGTACACAGGCTTGTGTAGCCCACTTCAGTGCCAGTAAGATGAGAGCTGTGTGAATTCTTGGCCATGTCACATTTAACTTACCCATTCATTCATTAGCAAAATGTGATTTTACAAAAAGCCCTTGGAGCTCCCAATGCTCTACAGGACAGCACTGGGCCCTCCACAGTGGACAGGCCAGATTGCCTTCCCAGCACCTGCCCCATTTGCCCCAGATGGGTGTGTCCAGAGTGTCTGGCATGTTTTCTATCCTGGCTTCACATCTCTGCCCAGCCTCTGACCCCGCCCGGCCTGGCCATGCTCCCTTTAAACAGTAGATTATCAGAAGCGATGAAGGCCAGCTTTATGAGCCATGCGCCCGAGACCCGTTGCCTGAGCTGGGGGGATAATTTACAGCGTATGATCCTTGGCCCTCGGAGGGGAGTATAAATCACGTCAGGTTGATAGAGCCTGCCTCCTGGAAAGGCACTGATAAAAGGGCCGTGGTTCACATTTTCACACATAGAGGAGGAAGACGTTGGGATGCTAAATGGGAACATCTGAGCCCAAAGTGTGGCCAGGGCCCCTCCCCTGTCCTCTGACCCTGGCGTGCTGTCAGTGACCTGGGAACTATCCCTCACACGTTCCCCTGTCAGCCGCTCTGCCCTGGGCCTGCCCTTCCTGATGCTGTCCCTCTGGGTCTGGATGTCCTCCGGCCACCCAGATGGACCGAGCCCGTCTCCCCTCTCAGGGCACGAGGAGAAGTCCGAGAACGCGGTGAGAGCTGGGACCTGCTGTGCCTCGTGCAAGGAGTTTCACCAGATGAAGCAGACGGTGCTGCAGCTGAAGCAAAAGGTACGTGCCTAGTGTGTCAGAAAGCATCCTGTGAAATGGGAGGAGGACTTGGCAGAGAGAAAGCGGAAAGATGTTTAGATACAATAAGAAAATCAGTCATCATCCACAACCTCATTGAGCATTCGCTGAGGTTGGTGCCGGCTAGGTTTGGACTGGATGCTTTGCCCACCCGCCCTCAGCGCTGACCGCCTAAAGGGCAACAGAACACGACAAAGGCGGGGGTTGATAAGGTGACTGTTAAATGGACCGCTGGGTAAGAGGCACCTGGCGAAGCTGTGGAGAGGATGAGCTGTGCCTAGTGTGACTTTTTGGAAAATAAACATGCAGACACGTGGCCCTGGGGCAGACTTAAAGACTTCCCTTTTACCTAATATTTTGTCTGTATTTTATCGATAGAGAACATCCTCTCCATAAACTTCCATATGCTAGTGATGAGTTTCTGCAGCCGCTTTATTTTGCACATTTGAAAGTTACAGCCTGTGCTTTGTCTGGGCTCCCCGCACCTCAGAAAGCAGCCATTTAGATCCCTGACTCCCCTTGTAAAAGGCTCCCACGCATGCCGGACGGAGGAACAGATTTCTGGTAACGTTGTTATGCTGTGAGTAATGCCCCGTGATGGATCCAGTGGCCTGATTTCTGGAACAACTGTCCTGGACCCAAATCGGTGGTATTTGTTATACCTAAGGTCAGTCAATTCACCAGTTTGTCAGTGACTCAGAAATTGCGCTGTGCTGGTAACACATAAACTTACTGGTTTGTTTTTTCATTGCTTCCACTCAAGGCTGTTAGTATGTCAGAAAGGCGTATAGAATCTGTTTAACTTTGGCATCTATTTATTCTAAAGGACAAAAGAGTGCGCATAAGACAACATTGCTTTTCGGTGTTCAGCAAACATGCAGGCAGCCCCTAATGAGAACCACGGCTGCCAGGGAAACGCGCAGGTCAACAGGCTGAGAAGAGGAAGGGCTTTGCAGGCCTTCTGTACGTTGTTGGAGGATCTGTCAACTTTAACAGAGACGTGTCCAGCCGTGCGCTGCACAGTGACGTTTCAGTCAACAATGGACCACATATACAACAATGGTCCCATAGATTAGTACCATATGGCCTAGGTGTGTAGTAGGCTATACCATCTAGGTTTGTGTAAGTTCACTCTGATGTGCACACACAGATGAAATCACCTAATGACGTGTTTCTCAGAATGTCTCCCCATCGTTAAGGAACGTGACTGTAAATATATATAGGCGATGCATAATCATGATCTTAAATAATTTGTGATCCAATAGGGAGCCCAGGCAGGAAGCCTTGTAAGGATATCAGTATAAACATAGATATAAATAAGTGCATCCCACACAAATGTCCTCAGGCCAAGCTTGGATTGACATTAGTATTTATTGAGTGAATCCAAAAAAGAGTTGATGGAAGAAGTAGGTTTGTATTCCAGAGGCCAGAGGGTTAGGGCTTGGGAGAGGCAGTTGATCGATGTCTCAGGGCCTAAAGCTGCCCTCAGTTTCCTTCCCTGGATGGTCAATAATCCGAGAGCTAGAGGGAAGCTCTTCCAGCCTGGATGATCTTTCCGATCAGTGCTGCTAAGTCTCACAAGTTGTTCAGAAACTCAGTTGCTAAGTAAACATCTGGCATTCCCTTAACCTCCCTGCAGTGTTTTATGATTCATGAAGGAAGAAATATTAAAAAGCTGAAAATTTTGTGTCACAGCACCTGTCACCTTAATGGCCCTGCCATAGAGTCACATACAAATCCGACAACAAATACGTCTTAATACGCTAGTAACTCTCGTGCAGTTGGGCTGGACTGGAATTGGTTCGCCTTAGACTCATTCTCCTACAAGTGCCCTGGGGCAGGTCTGAGCCAACACTGACACTCAGGGAGCGTTATGAGAAGCAGCTCATTTTTAAAGGTGCCTGTTAGAATGTGTTGCATTCTGCAGTTTCTCGAGCAGTTTTGTATCCAAGATCTCATTTCATTCTCACCATGACCCTGTGAGAAGGATGCTGATATTCTCCTAGAGGTGAAGTCACTGCCCACGAGGCGGGCCAGACCCACCCCAGGTCTCTTCGCTTCTGCTCCTGTGCTGGTGTTGGGATTGTCGGTTGGTTTTTAACTTCATCTACTGCTGATGCCATCTGTTCTGTTCAAAAAAGAACGTAGGACATCTGCCCAGATAAACGTTGGCTAAGAAGTAGGGACCTGGTGTTCTGGACCGTGGCCAAGCCCATGGTGTAAAATGGTTTGCAAATGTTGAATTGCCCCTTGAGGGTACAATGGGCAAGATCCCAACTGTGGCAAACTTCACAGGGCAAATGCCCTGGGTTCTTCAATGGGTGAATCATAAGGAAAAGAAAGAGGTGGGGCGGTGACTTGCAGATTAAAAGAGACTTAAAAGATCACTTTTTAAATGGGCAAGATTAAACCATAGGGGCCAGCCCAGTGGTTAAGTTAAGTTCACACGTTCTGCTTCAGCGGCCTGGGGTTCGCCGGTTCAGATCCCTGGCACGGACATAGCACCGCTTGGCAAGCCATGCTGTGGTAGGCGTCCCACATAGAAAGTGGAGGAAGATGGGCATGGATGTTAGCTCAGGGCCAGTCTTCCTCAGCAAAAAGAGGAGGATTGGCAGCAGATGTTAGCTCCGAGCTAATCTTCCTCAAAAAAAAAAAAAAAAAAGATTAAACCATAGTGTCTGGCATGCACAGTTCGGTGGTAAATTATTTCTTTAAATGCAGGAGGTGATTAAAATCAGGATAGCGGTTACTTGGAGGGGAAGGAGGAGGCTGTGATTGGGTCAGGGACATGTGGGGACTGTTTGACGTGAGAGTGTCATTGCCACAGAGCAGTGGATGGAAGTGTGAGGAAGGATTCAGGAAGTGTTTGTGGAGCACCTGCTGTGCCCCACCGTGGGCTGGGAGAGGGGGAAATAAACACGGTATACAGGAGAGTCCTACCTTAAATAAGCTTGCTGTCTTCTCTGGGGAACCACGCCTACAATGTAAGTCAACCAACACTGGCCCAGTGGAGCAGCGCAGGCAATGGAAGCTTCAGAAGTTAGAGGTCCAGGAGGTTTCAAAAGCATGAGCAGATGTTCAACCTGCTGGCTGCACTTGCTCACTCTGGTGCCGCCTTTAATGCCAGGCAAATATGTGGCTTCTCAATCCTTGGTGACTTCCTCTGCTACCTTGATCTAGTTGCTCTGTTAAGTGGATCTTCTCAGGATTGTTGGGCAGATGAATCCATGTTAAAGTGATGGTAGATTGCCTTGCCAAGTATCACTAGTAATATTAAGAGAGGCAGCTTGGTGTGGTGGTTAGGAGCACAGATTTCAGAACCAGATTGGCTAAGGTTAAATCCTGGCCCCACCACTTGCTGATTGTGTAACCTTGGGTAAGTTATTAACCTCTCTGTGCCTCAGTTCTATTAAAAGAGGATAACAGGGGCCAAGCCCATGATGCAGCAGTTAAGTTTGCACATTCTGCTTCGGCGGCCCAGGGTTCGCTGGTTCGGATCTCGGGTGTGGACCTACGCACTGCTTGTCAAGCCATGCTGTTGCAGGCATCCCACATATAAAGTCGAGGAAGATGGGCACAGATGTTAGCTCAGGGCCAGTCTTCCTCAGCAAAAAAAGGATTGGCAGCAGACATTAGCTCAGGGCTAATCTTCCTCCAAAAAAAAAAATAAAAAGAGGATAATAATAATATGTACTACATAGGGTTTTCATGATGATCAAATGAGTTAATATTTATAAAGGACTTAGAACAGTACCTGCCACCCAGAAGGAACTCTGTAAATGTTTACCAAATAGGTAATTAACTTTAATTATATGACCTTACAAAGTGCTTTACTGGCAGCGTCTAACTGATTTGTACTAACAGCTCTGTGAGGTAGATGGTTCACTATGGAGGCTAATACGAGATAATGATACTCATAATTCCACTGATTGGAAGCCAAGACAAACATAGACTCTTCTGAGTTATGACAGCCTTCTTCCCCAGCCCCTGCATCCCATAAGCTCATCCTCTGCTGAGTTTGTGCAGCAAGTCAAGCAGGAATTTGGGACAGCTGCCTCCACAAGGCCGGTGCCTTTCTTTCCTGCTCATCCTGCTGACACATGGAGGAACTGACGGGAGCTGGAATGTAATCACCCAACAGGAGGTCAGCCAGGAAACTGAGGTCAACATTTACTCAATCACATCATGACTTTTACAAGGGAGCAGAGAGAGCTGGAAAGGGCACGGGGGAGTGTCTCTAAAGTCCATCCACGTGCAGGTCCCATCCTCCAGTCTTGCATACAAAATTTTAAGTCCAAAAATGATCATCTGGTCCAAACCTCTTGTTCTGTAGATGTGAAGATGAGAATCTGGAAGGGTGAAGGGACTTACCCAGAGTCACACAGCTACTTAGAAGCAGAGCCAAGAGCATCTGCCCTGGGCAGAGCATTTCCACTGTGTCCATGGTGGCTACTGGAGGTTACTAGTCTGGAGGCTGAGCCAGGCATGTTGAAGACGTCATCACTTTCCCTCCCAGCAGCCCTTTTGGGTGGATGGTACAATCCTCATTTTGTAGATGAGGAAATCCAGGTTATGTAGCTTATTTCTATTGGAAGTAGATAACTGGATCAGGCTTCAGCTGCCAGTGTTGACGCTCCGTCCCCTGGTTGGAGTAGATTTGCTTATAAATTTCCCTCCCTCATTGCTTCACTCCAGTTCCACCCTGGGGCCGCAGACACACATTTGCAGGTGGGAGTGGTCTCTTGCTACGACACAGTGACACCAGCACCATTGTAAATAAACTCCTGGAATGCAGCTGGGTCCTGGGAGTGACTTTGAACCGTGAACTCTGACCTGAAATTGTACAAAACTGACTCAGATTGCACAAGATTTTAATTCTTATGGTCACCCCTAGTGGATTCTGAGTAATGGTCATGGGGGACTTGAGTGCCATTCCTTGTATCTTTCAGGGAACACTAGGTCTTCTCAAAGTGTAGGGGAAGACCATTTATCTGGAAGAAAGTGGGTGGTCAGGAATCTCCTAGCTCATACCTACGAGGCTCTCCTTACCCAAGGATGTTAATACTAGCTGGGGGCCCCTCAGCTTCCTAGGAGTGAATGCTTAGAAGTGCTACAGGTACCGAGGGACCTTTGGAAGACAGTGTTGTTGCTTCTTTGAGCTTCCTGCCTTCTGAACCTTCTCACTCCGTAAGCTGGATAGACCGCAGTGAGAACTGCAAGAAAAGAAGAAAAAAAAAAAAAAACCTCTGGAGGACGTTCCAGACAGGGGAGCATCCCAGGCTCATATAGGTCACCTAGGGCAGCTGAGGTGGCAATAGGACCTTGACCCCAGGAGAGCCTGACACATGCTCCCTGGGCCCACGAGGGAGACTGAGCAGGAGGAGGGCGAGCAACGCCTTTGGCCTCATGGCTCTACCCATTCTTCATGCCGGGCTGCAGGGGTACATACAGCTGAAACCCTCTTTGGTTTCCCATGATTTTGCCTTTTAGAAGTATTGCAAGCACTTCATTAAGGGGCTGGTGGGATACGGGACCAGGGTAGTCACCTTGCCAAGGAGCTGGAAGAATTTGTTCTCCAAAGGATGTAACAGGTGAAAGTTGTTTGCCGAAGTGCAAACCGCATGCTATCATGACCACTTTTCATTAATATTGGATTTCTTCCATCAGCAAGAATATCTGTCTCCATGAATAAGAAAAATCATCAGTTTCTAAAGCTGGATCAAGATGGCCTCAAACCCAGCAGCCACCTGGCAGGAGAAGGGGATCTTGGCCAGAGGTCACCATCAGAATCCTGTTTTGTAACAGGCCTGCCAATCATTCCTAAACCTCCATGCCCAGAGGTAGACACTAGTGCAGGAGACCGAGGACCTTCTGAAGCCAGAGAAGGTCATCTCAGACAGCAAAACTTTCCCAGGCCTCCCTGGAGCCATTCACAGCCTGCATCTTAGCTGCAGTTCAGTAGATGTAGTTCGCAGTTCTCCATAGGCACCCCCTGGGCCTGGGCGTGGGCGTTCAAGATCTTGTGATCATCTTTCACTCCATTTCCCTGCCGTGATCCTGTGAAATCCCAGGGTTATTTGTGTGACGTTGTCAACAGAGTGTGCTTCACTCTGCCCCATCAGAACTTGACTGGGCGTCTCCAGTCTCTTGGGGCAGGAGGAAGTCCCTGAGAGAGGAAATGAGAGGTGAGACATGCCGACTGGCCCATGAAGGTGGAAGGTACAGAAAACTCGATGGTGGTTCCCATCAACATTCAACTCTATGTTCCTTGCTCCCAAACGTTGTAATTCAGGGTTGATAGGAGCCTCTGGGGGCAACTTTGCACGATTTTTGATTTAGTGCTCTTTGATGATTTTGAACCCCACAGGGCACAGCTTGGTCACAGTGGCAGTTGGCCACCTCTGATCACACGCAAATAGTTGGCACCTCTTTCGAAGGCTGAGGTCCAAAGGTGGGTTTAGCACATCGGAGCACTCCCAGAGCCTGGGTGCGATCTGCCATGCGTGGCCTTCTAGCTTGCATTACCCTCTGGGCAGAGGGTCCCCACATGGGGCCTCACCCAGGAGGATGTGGGGACAGATGCAACCTGCTTCAGAAAATTGCAGAGATATCTGGTTTCTGTGGGATTCCAGGATCCAGAGTTAATCATCTGGGGATAGCTCTGAACCTCAGAAACGTGCCTTTCTCTGCTAGATTTTGCGTCCCTGAATCAGCTTCTTGGAAGAAAGAGACTAGAAGGACCAATTATTAAGCACTTAGTATGTCCCAGGCCCTGTGCTGGGCACGCAGTATACACTTCCTCATTTAATCCTCTCAGTCCTAAAGGCGAGTGTTACTGTTCCCTTCTGTCGGTGAGGAAACAGAGGTTCGTAGCATTCAGTTCTTACTGAAAATCTTACAAATCCACAGGTTATTGCTTCTGTCATTTTCTATGCATTAGAAACACTAAGTACGGCCCACACTCAGAGGCTGGGAAATTAGCCTTCATCTTTTGAAGGTACGAGTGTCAGAAAATTTATGAATATGTGTTAAAACCATCACAAATCACTGTCTCCCACTAGTTCCCAAACACCTGAGCGTGTAGGTAACTGTAATCCGCATTCTTAGTCCTGGTTCCATGGCTGAGAGGTCCTTAAGAGCAGGGACCATGTCTTGGTCACCTTAGAACCAAGCACAGCGCCTGGCACATAGTAGGTCTCAAGTATTTGAGACATAAAGTAATTAAATAACAAATGGAAAGTCTGAAACAGGTAGATTGCATTAATTAGTGGTAATAATGAGTCTAATGGTGATGTCTAGGCAATCTGGAGCTGATCCATGTTCACCCAGTACCTAGCTGGAGGGAGTTCAACATTCAAAACAACATTCAAGCTGTTTTCACGAGAAGACCTCTGCGTTTAGAAAGAGGATCTCTACAGTCCCTTTGGGCTCAAACTAGCTCAGATAAAGAGGAATTGCCATGAAAAGGCTTTGCAGCATCTGCAAATAACAGAAGTGCGCAGAATCTCCCTGGCAATGGAGCCTTCACTTCCTGACCAAGGTTGCTCTTCTCTTTGCAGATTGCCCTGCTCCCCAACAGTGCTGCTGGCCTGGGCAAGTACGTCACTGGTGACAAGGTGCTGGCCTCAAACACCTACCTTCCAGGACCCCCTGGCCTGCCTGGGGGCCAGGGCCCTCCCGGTGAGTGTGGAGAAGGGCATAGAAGGGTGATAGTCCCCAGCCAAGGCCTGCGGAAAGCTCATGTTTGGTGGGGGCTGGATGGACTTCCTAAGCTTCCATGGATGAGAGCAGAAGCAGGAGTCCAGGGAGGCCCCACACCGGCAGGCGAAGAGGGCCGTGGGAAATTGGGTCCTGAAGCCTGAGAAACTCTCATAACCAAGAGCAATTTGGGAGAAAAAGGTCATTGTCCTGGGTTTGGGTAAGACTCTTAAAGATCATTTTAAGTTACAGAGAAACAAAATGAAAAACTATTTTTTAATGTTAACATATACAAAAATAGATTGGTATAATGAACTCCTGTGGGCTCATCCCCCAGCCCTGACAGCTTACGGCCAGACTCGTTTCTGCTATTCCTCAATCCTCTTTCCTCCTTCCCTGATTATTTGTCAACACGTTTATATCAATATTTATTTTTATATCTATATATTTTTCTTTAGAAGTCAACCTTATTGAGATAAAATAAAATTTTAAATTACAGTTTGGTGAGTCTTGACAAATGTATGCACCCTATATCAAGCATTTACTAACCACCCACCTATATCTATATCAAGATAGAGAACATTTCCATCACCCCAAAAAGTTCCCTTGTGCCCATTTGCAGTCTACTCCCCCTTTCCCACCTCTAGGCAACCACTGACCTGCTCTCTCTCACTGCAGTTTTGCCTCTTCTAGAACTTCAGAGCAAGGAGTCTCACAGTGTGTGTTCTTTTTATCTGGCTCTTTTCATTCAGCATACTGCTTTGGAGATTCACCCTATTGCTTTGAAGAAAATCCCAAATGTCCTGTCATTCTGTCAGAAAATACTCTATGATAACTTTAAAAAATAGTCACAAGATGTTTTGTATTTTGAGTCTCTCCATGATAGATAGATCAATAGATTTTTTTTTCACACCAGTACAGGAAATGATATTAGGGTTAGCAAGTGATTCTAAAACATGGAGTATCTTATCCCTGATTATCATGGCTTAGCTAGCAGTGTGCTAGGTGTTGCAAATGACCTCCTGACATTTTAATCAGGAAGATAACACACGTAGAGTGAAAGCAACTAGAATAAAACAGTATCTGCTTGCCCCAAGTAAGCACACAGGTGCTTCCTGCGTGGGAGCTTAAAGAGGAGAGATCACCGTAGCCTCCATGGTTGGGGATTTGGGGTTTGAGCTGGACGTGAAAGACTGGTAGGATTTGTCCACTCAGGAAGGACAGTGGGTAGATTTTAGCTGAAAGGTCAGCAAGAACAAAGGCTCAAAATTCTTCTCAAACTATTTATGTGTTTTCTTCACATACATTTTCATCTCCTGGTTTCCATCAAACACAGGTGGCCTGGGTCTCAGTCTGTACAGAGAATAGGAACTGGTCCAGGAGTTTGGTTTATCCTCTTGTTCATTCTTGTGGCCTGAGCTACTCTGGGTCATGGTGGTATTTTCTCCAGCAGATGCCACACACAAGCAGCCTCTTGCTGCTTCTAAGTAGACTGAGGTCTCTCCTTAAGAACTGATTCCTAGCACAGTGTTCTCCACCCTTCTCTAAGAGAATGCTCTCGCTCTGCTTCCCTGGAGGAACTTCCTCTCGGGCCAGTCCACATATCACTCCAACAGGGACAAACCAGGAACAGGGAGCCTTTGGCTGTCTTTCTTCTTAATGAATGATTTGCTAGCTTTTCTTCCAGTTCTGTCTGATTCCTAACATGATTTGAGCTGTCCAGGGTCCTTGATGGAGTAGCGCGTGATTGAGGGCTAGCTTTTCCAACGGACTGTGCCCTTGCTTTCTCCTCCAATCCTATTTCCTTCTCCCTCCTTACATCCAGCATCAAAGTTTGTGATGCCCTCCACTGAGATGTGTTAGGGTAGCTAGAATGATAATACGGTTTCTCTTACTCTTAACTAAAATTCCAGCCCTGAGGCCTGTGACGAATCACAGACTGGGTACCAGTATACGAAGCTACACTGGGTGGGAATCCTTTGGCTTTGGTGATGGGGAAGTGCTCGCTGCTGCTCTCTGCCCCCCCTCCCCACTGTTATATAGAAGTTGCTGACATTTGCACATCAAAGCCCCACATTTTAAAGGTCCTTGACATATAGTATTCCTAAGGCTCATTGATTGTGTAAATGAGAGTAATATATTATCTCTAGCCTGTCATTGTGCTATTGGAGGTATTTAGTTATAGGAGGGCTCGGGTCCCCTTTCCACATAAACTCTTTCAGGGTGACCTGGAACCAGCTTTGAGAGTAGGGATGTGAGACACGTTTGGATGGAACATTAACTGCCTTTAACTTTGGCGTAATTGTTCTATGAGCTAGAAAAGACTTCCCCAAATATGAAAACTCTGAAGTCTTTGTTTCTTTGTTTTCTGGTGAAAACAAAGTCATCCCGTCCTGTCACTGTGCTCTGCCTATAGTGGGAGCTAGATAGGATCAAAAAGTAATTACTGTGTGCACTAGAAGGACCCACAACGAAGAATATACAACTATGTACTGGGGGGCTTTGGGGAGAAAGAGGAAAAAAATAAAATCTTTAAAAAAAAAAAAGTAATTACTGTGTGCATTTGGAAGAGACGTCACTGAGGAATAATTACAGCACAACAATCAGCCCAGCCTCTTCAGTGCAGTCATTTGACATGAAACATTTACTAAGCAGCCTGCTATGTACCTGGGACTCTGAGAGTGTGCTGACAATTAAGACACACCCCACACACTCTCAGAGTTGGCAGTCTAAAACGGGTTAAAACCAATATCCTTCCATGTGCAAAAGAATGAAGTTGGACCCTACCTTACACCAGATACAAAAATCAGCTTAAATATAAGACCTGAAACTATGAAACTTCTAGGCGAAAACATTCATGACATTGAATTTGGCAATGATTTCTTAGATATGACACCAAAAGCACAGATGACAAAAGCAAAAATAGACAAATAGGATTGTATAAAACTTTAAATCTTTTCTACATAAAAGGGTACAGTCAACAGAGTGAAAGGCAGTCTACAGAATGGGAAAAAATATTTGCAAATCATGTATCTGAAAAGGGGTTAGTGTCCAGAATATAAAAAGAACTCCATAATTCAACAACAAAAAAATCAAATAACTCAATTTAAAAGTGAACAAAGGACTTGAATGGACATTTCTCCAATAATACTATTCAAATAGCCAATAAGCACATGAAAAGATGCTGAACGTCGCTAATCATAGAGAAGTGCAAATCAAAACTTGTGAGATAACACTTCACACCCATTAGACCTGCCACTATCAAAAAACTGAAAATAACAAGTGTGGGTGAAGATATGGAGAAATTGGAATCTTTATGTGCTGTTGGTGGGAATATAAAATGGTGCTGCCACAAGGGAAAAGAGTATGAAGGTTCCTCAGAAAATTAAAAATGGAACTAACACGTGATCCAGGAATCCCACTTCTTGGTAGATATCAGAAGAATTAAAAGCAGGATCTTGAAGAGATGTTTGCATACCCATATTCATAGCAGCACTATTCACAACTGCCAAGAGGTGGAAGCAACCCCAGTGTCCATCAATGGATAAATGGACAAATGAAACGTGGTATATACACGCAGTGGAATATTATTCAGCCTTAAAAAAGAAGAAAATCCTGTTTCATTCTGTAATATGGGTGAAACTTGAGGACATTATGCTTAGTGAAATAAGCCAGCCACAAAAAGACAAAGGCTGTATGATTCTACTTGCATGAGGTATCTAAGGTAGTCAGATTCATACATACAGAAAGGAGAATGGTGGTTGCCAGGAGCTGGGGGAGGGGGAGATGAGGAGTAGTTTTTCAGTAGGTATAGAGTTTCAGTTTTGCGTGATGAGAAAGTTCTAGAGCTCTGTCGCACAACCGTGTGAATGTACTTAACACTGCTAAACTACATTTAAACATGGTTAAGATGGTAACTTTTATGTTATGTTGTTTATATGTTGTTTACCACAATTTTTTAAAAAATACTCCCAAAGTGCCCACTCTCTTTTACCTCATCTCTACCGCTGATGTTCGAGGCCTAATGCAGAGGTGAACATGCTGGAGTCTGCACTAAGCTGCACCCCACCGCTTAGCAGCCACAATCCCTGTGGAGCCAGCGAGGTATTCCCTCACTGTGTAGCTGAGATATACAGAAGTGAGGGGATACCCCAACCCCACCACAAGCCCAGCCCCAGCCAAAGTGGCTGTTGACAACCCTCCATGTCTGTGGTTAAAGGTAGATGAGACCTATAGATCTCTTCGCCATCAACCCCCATGATGGTTGGTACAACCAAATTCTGGCATACATACAAACGATTATTACAAGCAGGCACAAAAACAGTCATATTGCTTATTCTTAAACTCAGTATTTCCCAGTGCTCTGTCAATTTAGGCCTCTGAAAAGAATTTAAAAAAAATTTTTTAAACCCTCAATGTCTACATGGACCAGGCAGGTAGCATAGATGAATGAAGGGAGCTGGGCTTGAGCAACAGGGAGTAAGGAGAATTGAACTAAACCCAAGAGCATGTGGCCCCATTTAAAGGGCAGCCCTACATAGAGCTCTGGTGATTGTGCCAGTGGGAAGAGAGAGGTCCACATTTTAGTTCTTCCTGTTTTCAAACAGAAGCCAGAAACTTCTGTTTTTATATGAAATCTCACCATTTTTCACTGTTAGGAAATTCAGGGGATAATAATATACATAAACAGGGTATATATATCCATGTACAGAGTGTGTCTGTACATGTGTATATGTGTTTGTGTATAGAGAGATATCTATATGTACATGTGTGCATCTATACATCTAATATTGACAGATGTATCTGTCTATTACACATATGCACACATTATACTATACATATAATGGTGCACAATGAAGTAAGCTGTTAATTCTCTTATGGGGAAGGGAGTGCCAAGATGTTTTTGGAGAAATGTGGTCTATGGTGATTAGATGAGGGTGGAGGCAAAGCAGAAAAGGAGGGAAGAAGAATCTAGGCTGGGTGGTGCACTGTAGCGTGGTTTATTCTCGAGAATGGGGGCTAAGAGGTGATTAGGAAGGCGGCAGTGGGGTAAAACAACGCCCAGAGAGGGAGCAGGAATGACCTAGTGCACCAGGCTGAGGAGTGTGAACTTTATTCTGTGTGCCAAGGGGCCCACTGCAGGCCGTTCTACTTCTTTTCCTCAGACTCCATCTACTTGTATCTTAGACTGTTTGATGTTGTCCCGCCTCTCTTGGATGCTCAGTTTTGCTTTTTTCCCCCTCTTTTTTCTCTTTGTGTTTCATTTTGGATAACTTCTATTGACTTATCTTTAAGTTCACTGATTACTTCCTCAGCTGTGACCAGTCTGCTGATAAGCCTAGCAGAGAAATTTTTCGTCTCTGATAATTGTGTTTTTTCTTTCCAGCATTTCCATTTGACTTTTTTTCTCTAGTTTCCGTCTCTCTGCTGAAATTCCCCATCTGTTCCAGCAAGCTGTCTTTTCCGCTAACATCTTTAACATAGTAATCATCGTTATTTTAAAGTCGCTGTATGATAATCCTAACATCTGGGGCACCTCTGAGTCCGATTCTATTGATTGCTCTCTCTCTTGACAATGGGGGCTGTTTGTTTTGTGTGCATGGTTTTTTTTTTTTTCATTATTTTTGTTTTCTTTTACTCCTTTTGTGCCCCCAAATTTTTGATTGAAGGCCAGGTATCGTTTGTAGAGGAAGAGTAGAGACTGGGGTACATAGTAATTATTCCTGGAGATGGGTGTCCTCTTCTTTTATCAGGCCACTGGCATGGAGAATTGAGTCAATCTAATGAGTCCTTGAGCTGGGTTTGGATTGATTGTTACTATCTTTACCTCCAGTGTTCCACAGTCTTCAAATTTTCAAATTCCTCCGATGATCAAGTACTGTTACTACATGCTTAGTGGAGGCCTTGGGTGCTGATGGTTTTTTCTCAGTGGTTCTCAGCTTTTGGCAGCCCCTACACCCCTCCGCCACAGAGGGGTTCTCCCTCCACGTTCTTGCTCTTCCTCCAGTGGTAGACTGCTGTTACTTCTTACTCTACGGTAGAGTTGGGGGAGGGGGGAAATTTTCAGTTCTCTGGTCCAGCTCAGTCCCCAGCATGACCTGTGCACGTGGACTTTGAGGTGAGATCTTCTCCCCACTGTGGCAGCCCAGTTCTGCTTTGTGGCCATGGCAGATGTTGAACAGGAGAGAGTTTCCTGCCCCAACCCCAGTAGTAGTGGATATTTGGGTCCTGCAGGAGAGTTTGCTGCCCCATCCCAATGGCTTGAGACTTTTGCACCAAAGGGTTGAAAGTAGGAAAGTTCCACCATAAGACTTGTTTTAGAAATAACATTCATATAGAATAGTGAAGAACAGGTGAGGGGCAAACAAGAGTGGTGGAAAACAGAGGGCCCAGCTGTGAAGCAAGAGTTGAGGTCAATAAAAAGAAGGCCTGGCAGAGTTTGTTTTTAGTTCTTCCATGTGTGAGATAGTGAGAGAGGTGTGTGTGTATCTAAACTCTCATTTAATACTCAGAACCACTCTGTAAGGTAGATTTTTATTAACCCAGATTACAGATGAAAAACTAAGGTTCAAAGAGGTCAGGCAACTTGTCCAAAGTTCAGACGTAGGTCTCTCTGTTGCTGAAAGCACGCTCTGAACACTATCCAGCTGTATTAGCCACCACCTTCCTGTGATCAAGGGGATACAGAGGAGCAGACAGTTATGAGACGTTAAAGAGGCAAAATGTATAGGCCTGGTCACTGATTGGATAAGGAGGTTGTGGAAACAGGGAAATCTGTAGGAAGACTCTCAAGTTTCTGGACTGAGTGGATGGGTTACTGGTGGTCCTTGAAAGGAGAGGAGGATGGGGAAGTCAATTTTTGATCATGTTAAATTTAAAATGCCTGTGGGACATCTCAGTGGAGATGTCAGAGGGCAAAGGGCAGAGCGCAAACAGAAATGGCTGCAAGGGGCTCACAGACTCTTGTCAGCCAGAGCCCCTTGTCATTCTCATGGGATGTGGAGCTAATGAGGTGTTCTTTGCTTACAGGCTCACCAGGACCAAAGGGCAGCCCAGGCTTCCCCGGCGTGCCAGGCCCTCCTGGGCAGCCTGGCCCACGGGGCTCAATGGGACCCATGGGACCATCTCCTGATCTGTCCCACATTAAACAAGGCCGGAGGGGCCCTGTGGTCAGTATTTTACCAAAGATGCACTTAATGGTGTTGGGGAAAGCATGTTCTCATCCCATGCTTTTTCCTTCTGTTAAACTAGATCTTTGTCTTGTAGGGTCCACCAGGTGCACCAGGAAGAGATGGTTCTAAGGTAAGTCTGAAGAGGGGCTCCTTAAAAGCCTACAGCTGCTTAATTTTGATCTTTTGTGCAGGCATCAAGTGAAGCTCAGGCACTGTTTACTGTCCCCATTTTGCATGTGGCAAAATTGAGATATGAATACTCAAAGCTTGGAATACCCAAAGCTTGGAAGAAAATCTAAAAAACAATTTTCTTAAAATATGCAACTACCGTAATAACAAAAACAACCAAAACCACTCCTAAGAAAGAGTACCTTTTAAATTTTAAATAAGCCTCTGTGTTGTAATATTAGTACGTGTTTTTCTCTTTAGGAAGTGTTCTTTCGTAGGGCTATTTTGTGTGTGTCCCCATTTCTTTGATATGTTTAAGTCAAGAACAGGAGAAGTTCCGTTCTGTGCAAGTGGGAGGTTTTGCTTTGAGAGCTGCCTGCTGCTTACATCATAAAGAAGTCAGTGTAAGTTACTTTAGTAAGCTTCTAAGTCATTCCACACGCTGCCTGGAAATACAGGCATTCCTCTTGTCAGATCTGGCTTGAAAATATGTGGCCTCAGGGGAAATGAGAATGAGAGTTTATTTACCCAAGCAGATCTGTTGAAATAAGTGGTCCCTGCATCCAGCTTCAAGCTTACATTTGTTTCCGATAGAAAATATTTGTTGTTTCATGCAGGGAGATGGTTATGGTGATGTCTAAATAGAGACTGGTGGCAGCATCCACGTGGTCCAGAAGGCTAACCCAACCTTTCTGCTTTTAGGGGGAGAGAGGAGCGCCTGGACCCAGAGGGTCTCCAGTAAGTAGCGCCGTCTGTCCTGCCTCCCCAGTGGGAACGTTCTCAGGGATGCCACCCTGATGAGCCTGTAAATTTGTCTTATTAGCAAAAGCCAGCCCCTTCCAGCCATCACTCAGCCTGCCCAAACAGAAGTCATGGAGACCTTTAGCAGCTCATTGGGATTTATTTTGAAAACTTGTTTTCTGTTGTTTTTTCTTTTATCATGGCTAATCTTTATTTGGAATGTCTTCTCCTAAGATTCAAAACCCTAGTATGCCATGAGTCTGTTTCCAGGTATGTCATAACACATCTGAAAGGACTAGAAAAGAAATCTATGGGGTTAAGTCATAACTCTGAACATTTCAGAATGTAGCCGCTACTATAACCCTAGCGAGTCAGATGACCATCCCCTCCAAAAAATGCAGAGACGTGCAGGGCCACTTGGGACCGCTGAGAAGAAATTAGTTGGGTACATGTGTGGCATCTGGGAGATTAAAAATGAACATTAGTAGTACTCAAAACCACAGAAAATTCCGACAACGCCATTGCTTTGGAAGAAGTCAGTGTAATTTCTGAAGGAAGACACAGAGCCTTGGCCTTGGAGGTAGGAGGTCTGGGTTCCCATCTCAACTCTTCCACCTGTTGGCTCTCTGATTGTGGCTGTGTCACTTAGCATTTTGGGGCATCCATTCCTCACCTGTGCAGTGCCAAGTGGAATCTGATCTGCCACACTCAGGTGGTTACTGTGAGGGTCAAATGACGTCAAAATACTGTACATCACTAAGTGCTTTGCAGATGTACGCTGCTGTTTCTAAGGTGGTAGCCACAGCAACAGAGGGTGGGGACTGGCGGGGAGGAGGTGGTGGTAAAGATTTTACTACAGGTTACTAACAAACCCGGAACATGCATGTTCACACATTATATTACCATGCCCCACACAGTACTACCTAGAAATTAAGGCTTGATAAGTACTATATAATGATAAAAGGTGTTCAATCAATAGAAAAATTAGGAAACCTCTGCTTGGACCTTTCCTGGTCAATGAGGAATGGATGCCTTTATAACATACTTTCAACTTCATTTAAGTTGCAGTTATAGTCAGCCATGCTTATAAACATTTTAATGATTTCACTTAAAGAAAATAACAGATAACATTTTTGAGTATTTATCGTGCTCTAAGCCCTGTACATGTATCAACTCACTTGAATCTTCAGCTGTGAACTCTATGAAACTGAAACTGTTATATCCCCATTTTACAGAATGGGAACCAAAACCCAAAGAAATTAATTAACTTGCCTGAGACCACACAGCTAGTCAGTTGAGATTCAAACCCAACAGAAACCCAACCTCTTAACAACTACTCTGTGGCCTTCATGAGTCTTTTCCAGGTTTCTTTGGAAAGTTACTTTAGAAGGGTCATTCTCATAGTCTTTCATTCTACCAGATTTGACATAGCCTAGAATTGGGGGGAAGAGAGGTGAATATGTCACTGAAGCTCCTAGGAGAGAGGAGGGAATTAGAAGGCAGTCTTAGGAATCCCCCAGGCTACTCCAGTAGTCCCTATGTTTACTCTGTTTGGGACACAGAGCTATCAACTAAATAATTGCCAGCAAGCTGCGCAACCAGCAAATCATGGGGCCTATGGAAGCCATCACTCAGCAGAGAGTTGAGTCTGTGGTGTCCTGGTTTTGATTCCTCTCATGTGCACAGGGACCCCCTGGTTCTTTCGACTTCCTGCTGCTTATGCTGGCTGACATCCGCAATGACATCGCGGAGCTGCAGGAAAAGGTGTTCGGGCACCGGACTCACTCTTCTGCTGAGGAGTTCCCTTCACCTCAGGGATCTTCCAGCTATCCAGAAGCCATGGGCTTCGGCTCTGGAGACGACTACCCGAGAAGAACTGAGACAAGAGACTTGGGAGCCCCCGGAGACCTTTACCCTTAGCACATCCCAGCATCTTCGTGCCAAAGGAAGAGGAGAGAAGAGTGTTTCCACCTGCAGTTAGATCGTCTAAAGAAAAAAGCAGACACCACTGGAGACCCAGAAAAGATAGATTTTTATTTCTTTACTCTTTTCCCGCCTTCTCTCTGCTTCTCTTCTTCCAAATACTATCATCAGAGTCCCCTGCCACACCCACTAAAAACAGGAGGGAGTGAAGGACTGATGTGCATGCTTCCTGCTGAGAGCCAGGTGGGGTGGTCTACATTGGAACTGGTCTTTTACTCCTTTTTTTGTCAGGAACTTCTGGATTTCTGAATTAAGTGTCTCGCAGTGTCTTAAAATTTGGCAGAATATCAAAAGGGGAAAATGGCAAGGGGAGCTCTAAGAAAATATGAGTTTGCTTATAAAAGAAAAATAGATATGTGTCCAAAGTAGATTATTACTCTTCAGTATCACAATGAAGCCTCTTCAATTAAAAGGGGGAGACCACGATGTATATTTACTTTGGTGGGTAATTCTTTTTCCTTGTCAACCCAATAGATTTTAAATATTCTATCCTTTTGTCCAACTGTGTTTCCCAATTTTGATTAAAGAAAGGAGAAAAGAAGAGGTGGAGATTAGAGAAGATAGAGGAAGATTACAGTCATATATTTCTGTCATATAGGTTGCCACATTTTAAAATTCAAATATGCCTATTAAGGCTCTTGCCATGCTTATCTATAAGGAAAGTTATTCTGGCTATCGGAATAAATCCTCTTTTCAAAACAAAATAAGTGGATACAGTGCCCTGATTCACATTAGAACAATGGGCTCCTGGTTTGCCAGGATATTTTAAAGCTCTTTGATCAAGTGAGCAGTCTTGGTCTGTAAAGCACAGACTATTGTTAACTAAGAGTGGCTGACCCTTAGGGAGAGGTGCAGAATGGCCAGGCCGTGACCGGGCACCCAGAAGGTGCCGTTAGCCCGTGATCCAGGTTGAACGGTGTACAGTGGAGCTCCGGGCTGGAAGGAGGTTGCTGGCTTGGGTTCTTGGTGAGCCGGGAGCAGGGACCCCACTGAATCAGCAGAGGCAGGTAAATTTGCTCCTTGGGAATTAGAAGTCCTTGTGTGGGGCCAGCCAAGCTTGCCATCATAGAGAATCATACACTATTGAAAGTTCTCTTGGATGGGGAGGGAAAAACCAAGTTTTCCTTGTTTGGCAGAAATTTCCTTCCCGTTATTCCCATTTTTCCTTAGTTTCCATAATTTAGTCCACATTCTAGTTCTTTCAGGACTTCTCCTGGATTTCCCTTCAGCAACAGTGGGAAGCAATCGGGAAAGGGGTATCTTCCCAAACCTCCCACCGAACCAGTGTTTACTCAACACCCCTGGGTCCCAGAGGGAAGCATGTTCTGGAAAAGGCTTTCTCTGGATCCACAGACACAGGAGCGAGATTGAGAGTGAGTGTTCCAGAGACCAGCAGGAGCGTCTGCTCCTTTGTCATATTGTTGGGGAACCTCTTGGTTTTAATGAGCAGCTTACAGGTTTCTTCAAGTCCACTTTCTCATTTGACATCAGAATGGCTGTTTATCTACCTGTTCAGGGATCTTCACCCTTGTATTGGGCTTCACAAATGATCGTTGTCACAACTCCTGTTTGCTCATGTTAGGGTTCCCATTTCCCATCCTGCAATTTCCCCCTATATCTCTGGGAAGTTTGTGTTTAGTTTTCTTTTTCTATCTCCTTAGCCTGCATCATTTTTTAAAGAGAACCACTGTTGGGTTTGTACGCCACTTTCAATCTGCTTGCTTCACAGTGACGGGAAGAGCTTCTGTTTGTGAATCTCAAGTGACAACAGCCTTGCTTCCCACGTTCCCATCAGGTTAGAAACCCAGGACTCCAGACAATCATCCGTGACTGTTTTTCACCAACACTTTACCACACTATTTCTTCCTCATGCAAAATCCCCAGTGTCTGTCCACCAAAATGTTAGAGCTGAAAGCAAACACTTTCCCAATGCTGGTTTTCTAGCATCCTTCCTGCCCCTCCAGTCTCTCCAGAATCTAGTCATCACAGCAGAAGGCCTCGCCGACCACAGCTTCAGGAAGAGATGAACTGAGAAACTGTCAATTCCCATCTGGAATATATTTAATGTTCGCCTGCTTGTGGAAGGCAGTATTTAAAGGGTGTGAATGGATGAATGCTAAAAAAAAAAAAAAAAAAAAAACGTACAGGCTGTATGAGAAATGATTAGATCTGCCTTTGATTTTTTTTAAATGAATTTTATTTCTTAACAGTGAACTGTATTTAGAAAAATAATCATCTTCTTTATTGTCAAATGCTCATAAAATGCAACTAAACTGCACGTTTGGCCAGAGGCTAGGGTAATATATTAACAGAATGAATTAAAGGTAGTAATATCTGGGATTTCTGAGACTATTCTAAATATTTGACAGCAAAACACACAATAATTTGTATTTTATCTCGGTCTGCTAAAGCAGATCAATTTGTAAAATAATTATTCATCATATTTTCAAAACTTGGACTACTACCACAGGACTAAATATGTACTCTGTATGCCCAGATTATATTTTTCAAAGATAAGACGTAAGAAGGCACTGTTGTTCCTAATGTATCTTTTAGTTATTGATAAAAAAACTAAAGATTCACTGTCTAAACAAAACTTATGCTCAAAACCTAACAGAAACGCCATTTTGGGGTGTGAAATTTGCTATATATAGTTTTGCAAAACCTCTTCATGTTTCCTGGGGAAAAAGATCTTTGGACACCTCCTCAACCATTTAGCAGAAATATGGACGTGCATTTTTTTGTACCCTGGTAAGCAGAACTTAGAAGAGGACTTACTGGGTTGCTCCTGTCTTTGGAAAGCAGTGGGAAGAAAAGTCTGCTGTGGAAAGTAGTGTCGGGAGGGCATGCATTTTAATTTAGGAAAATGCCTCCTCCCTTCCCAATCCAGAGGGAGAAATTCTAAGTTTTACTGTGCCAAAGGGTACGGAGCTACAAAGGGAATGCTGTCTTCTCTCTCCTGAGATAATTTCGACACCTGCCACAGAATGAATCGACCAACCGACGTAATTTCTACTGTATAAACTCAGACAAGTGTGTCCATAGCCACGCAGGTAAATAATAGATGCACACTGGCATGGGGAGCGGAGGGGTTGCCCCACCAAACACCAGGCAAAGGGCACCCTGGTCTGGTCATGCTGCCTTTCCAGGGTTCATAACTACTGTTGGCCCTGTGAGCCCTGTATCCAGGCATGCAAGGGAAGATATTCACCATGGCTAGGTGCCAGGCATCTCCTTGGGTTGACAACAGATCCCTCATCATACTCTGGTGTCACCTTCTCCCTCTCTTCCCCCACTGCAGCCTGTCACAGAGAGAGACAGCAGCCTCATTGTGCAACCTTACATCTTTCAGATAACCTTCCTGAAAAGGAAAATTATTTGCAGGAATCCAGGCCAAACAATTAGTAGAACAGAGCCATCTAAAGCTATTAATAATGAATTCAGGGAAATAGATGAAATTTTTCCTGGCACAGTCAGCATGTATGTTTCACAACAAATCAAAAAATAACTTTCCATTTGAGAAAAAGAAAAAACCGTGACCGTTGTTGTTGAATAAAATGTTGAACTTCACGGGCTCCTTCAACAAATCTTAACTGCTTTAGGGACTCATAGAAAAAAAGACCCTTTTACACATCCCCCAGGGACCTCAGTATTCTTTATGAGATCCCCAGAGCAAGTGCCTTGGGGAATTTCATGTGTTGTGGCTGTTTTTATTTGCCAGTGACTAGTCATATCCTTCAGTAGCTACGTTCGTTATTGATAACAGGTCCATGTAACGGCTGAACTAGTATTCAAATAGTCATGGATGTGACACTATGAAGTACTTTTGATAAGATTATAATATGCTTAATAACAAAGTTATTTTTTATATGTGGTTGTCCTGTATTTTGTCCTGACACCCAGTCCTGTGGCACAAGTTGTCTTTTCACAAGATGAATATAAGGAGATGGAGAGAGAGATTTTGATTAAGATCCAGAACCTGCATTCTGGGTAGACCACTTCCTGGGGCCAAGTGTGGCCCCAATATTTGAGTCTGAGTCAAGGTCTGAAGGCCCATGTTCCACTGAATCGCAGTCTCAGAGGCCCAAGTGCCCAGTTGGGGGGATCCTCTGCAACCCTCAGGATGGGGTTTCCAAACCAAGAACTCTCTAAGGATCATTGGAGGCGCCTTCGGAGCTCACGAAGGGGAGGCCTGTGAGGGTTCCACCTGGTACCCACTGCACCACAAGCAACTCAGTTTTCAAATGGTTTCAGATTAGAATTCTGCATAAAGTTTCTTTTGGAGGGGAAAAAAAAGTTGACTACCTAAAAAAGTTAAATAGAGCTGCGGGGAGGAAGCCCGAGGAGTTGATGAGTTGGTAGCCAAAGTCCTCTGTGTGAACACGAGAGGAAGGGAATTTTCATCGGTTGGGCCATACGGGAGGCAGAGTCATACAATAAAAAGGAGGATGCCTCTAAGATTTTTCGCACTCTAGCAGGGTGCCTTTAGCGTCTGGAGGTTAACCCATATGTATACATCCCACTTTCCTTTAGCAAATATTTATCACATGCTTGTAAGCTGCACACTGTGCTATGCACTGCAGACACGATGGGGAGCAAAAATGTCAAAATCCCCATCCTCCAAGGGATTTTTGGCAAAACAGACAGGAATCCTTCCAGGCAAAATACATTAATCACATAAATATGCAATTACAAACTGTGATAAGTGCTGTGAAGGAAAAGTGCTGCAGGAGCCAATGACAGCTCGTGCCAGGAGGAGCCACCCTCCGCTCCCCGTGCGCTCCTTCCCAAAGTCACACCCGCGTGAAGCCCCCCCGCGGCCGGTCGCCCCAGAGCCACACAAGACCTTTGAAGGGCAAAGCATCACGAATCCCCTGGGTGACACAGCAGTCGATAGAAATCTGGGAGACCACTTCATGTATAGTTTTTCCAGTCGTCTTAATTTAAAAAGCAGCTTAATGAACCAAACGCTGGGTTCCCTCCAGCTTTGATGGAATGAGGATGAACACTCCTCGTTCCTTTGGACATCCCATTTGTGTGATTGGATGGTAACCTCATGTGCTCCGGTCTCAATTCCCAGCAGAATTTGAGGCTGGTTTCTTCCAACCAGGATGCTAAAGTTTTGGAAAAGCTCACTGTGTTTTTGAAACACCCTCAACTGTGTGTGCAGATTTTTACCACCTGCTCACATCTAGATACCCGGTTACAAGTGGCAGCTGCACTCAGCCGCTGGGGAGGTCCATGAGGAAAAGGTAACTCTTCAAGGGTATGTGGGGACAACTGCAGTGGACTGCAGGGTTCTGGGGGACTGGGAGAGACGTGAGGAAGAGGGGTGTGTGGGTCCCTCCTGCTGCCGTGGCAAAGGAGCACAACAAGGGGGCATCCACAACGGACATTTTATTTCCTCACAGTTCTGGAAGCTGGAAGTCCAAGAGGTGTCAGTAGGGTTGGTACCTTCTCGAAGCTCTGAGGCAGAAGCCATCCCATGCCTCTCTTCGGTTTCCATTGGTTGCCGGCCATCCTTGGTGCTGCTTGCCTCCAACGTCACATGCCACTCTACCTCTGTGTCTGTGTCTCCATGTCTTCACACGGTAATCTCCCCTCTGTGTGTTCTGTGTCTGTCTTTTCTTACAAAGACCCTACTTATTGGATGAGAGCCCACCCTAATCCAGCATGACCTCATCTCAGTTTAACTGTATCTGTACAGATCCAATTTCCAAATAAGGTCACATTCTGAGGTTCTAGGTAGGTAGGAATTTTGGGGGGACACTATTCAACCCAGTACAAGAAGGAAATTTTCTCCCTGTCCATTGACTCTTGTCACCCTGCTTATTTCCTTTAATAGCATGCTTTCCAATCTGAAATCCTTGTGCACTTCATTCAGTAAAAATTTGTTGAGGGCCAAGAGTAGAGTAGTGATAGTATGAAACCCTGTTCTTGTGGAATATGCCTTCTGGTCCAGGAAGATAAACAGAAACATGTGAGTTCTCCAGAGAAACAGAACCGATAGGCTGTATGTATGTGGATAAATAGATATAGGTGTGTGTATATATAAACACATGTATACAAAGATTTATTTTAAGCAATTCAGTCATGTGATTATAGAGGCAGGCAAGTCCAAACTCTGTAGGGTAGGCTGGAGACCCAAGAAGAGCTGATGTTGCAGTTCGAGTCCAAAGGCAGTCTGCTGGCAGAATTCCTTCTGCAGGGTAGGTCAGTGTTTTTCTATTAAGGCCTTCAGCTGATTGGATGAGGCCCACCCACATTTTGGAGGGTAATCTGCTTCATGCAAAGTCTACTGATTTAAATGTTAATCTCATCTAAAAAAATACCTTCACAGAAACATCTAGAATAATGTTTGACCAAAGATCTGGGTACTGTGGCCTAGCCAAATTGACACATAAAATTGACCATCACAATATATATCAGTATTAAAAGGAGCTATGGGGAAAAGTTAATTAGGGTAGAGGAATAGAGAGTGATGGAGGGTGGGAGTATCCGCTTTAGCTGGGCTCTTCTGAAAAGGCCTCACCAACAGAAGGATGGCATATGAGCAGAAACCTGTACAAAGGGAGAGGCGAGCCATGAAGAGATGTTGGGGGAGAATGATCCATACACTGAAGGTTTCAGCAAAACCCCAAAACAGACCTGCTTAGTCTGCTCAAAATAGCACTGGTGTCAGCGTGGCTGGAACAGAATAAGCGAGGGGGGCGTGGTAGGAAATGCCTTGAGAGGCAGCCAGAGGCCGGGTAGAGCCTTAAGGCCCTGGGTAAGGACTTTGCATTTCCTCCTGGACCCATGGAGGGTTTCGAAGGGGCAAGGATGGAAGCAGGGAAACCCACTGGGAGACTGTTGAAGCAACTTCCTTGTTTCTTGACTGTTTGCCTCTGTGAGAACTGACTGCTTGTCTGTTGTCACCTTCCTTGCTAGACTAGAAACTACTCAGGGGCAGGAACTTTCTGTTTTTCTCTACTGTATTCACACATGTCCCACCAGACCCAGTACATACCAGTTCATAGTAGGAGTCCAATCTGTGTGTGTGTGTGTATATATTTTTTTTTGGTGAGGAAGATTGGCCCTGAGCTAACACCTATTGCCAATCCCCCTCTTTTTGCTTTGAGTGACGTGAGCTAACATGAGTGCCAATATTCCTTTTTTTTTTTATGTGTGGGATGCCACCACAGCATGGCTTGATGAGCAGTGTAGGTCCGCCCAAGATCTGAACCTGTGGACCCCGTGCCACCAAAGCAGAGCACACAAATTTAACCACTATGCCACCAGGCTGGCCCCCCAATCTATATTTTTATAACAAATTTGATAGAATTAATGCATTTAGTCTTCACAAAACTCTATAACGTAGATACTTTTATCATCCCTGGTGTAAACATCTACTGAGAGGTAAAATAGTTTGCCCAAGATCACAGCTAAAACATAACAAGCAGGTATATTTTAAAACAAGCGCAAATTCATTGTCGCATTAATCCCGTAGAACACACATAGCCCAGCCACCCAGCCCCACGTTCTCCCTCACTCTGGAATCACAGATGACTTCACAGAATGAGCCCCCGTGGTACAGAAGGCCAGGAGCTGTTTGCTTTCCTCCGTCCAGTATTCTAGTCTATTCTGGATTGACAAAATCTGACTTTCTGATAGGAGGTGGCTGGCAAATGCACACAGTAAGACTGTTGAGATACATTCGAAAGGCAATGAAGAAAGAATGACAAAGCTGTTACACTTACTGCTACTTAGTGTTAGATATGGCCCAAAGAGAAGTGGGAGTCAAGGCTCAAGAAATGTAATAGGTTAAATAACACATTATCTGATCAAAGGAAACATGCTGTTTTTCAGGAGTTTTTTTCTAGAAGGAATATATCAAATGAGTCCTTATTAAATAGTCACTGACCAACATATGTAACCATTTCCCACACATGTAAAAGTGACGGAATGTAAGAAAGCAGGTTTTCTTCCAGGTGTTTCTGCAGAGAGGTTCCATGAATGAGCTGCAGGTATATGGCCAAAGGGTGAACTTGATGGCCGGATAAAGCCCAGATTGCCTTGAGGAGTAAGTAACCACCCAGATCATGAGAACAGCATTTTTCAATTTTTTTTTTTTTTTTTTTTGGTGGAAGATTAGCCCTGAGCTAACTGCTGCCAATCCTCTTCCCTGAGGAAGACTGGCCCTGAGCTAACATCTGTGCCCATCTTCCTCTACTTTATATGTGGGACACCTACCACAGCATGGCGTGCCAAGTGGTGTCATGTCCACACCTGGGATCCGAGCCAGCAAACCCCAGGCTGCTGAAGCGGAACGTGCGCACTTAACCGCTGCACCACCGGGCCGGCCCTCAAATGTTTTTGACAATGACCCACGGGGAAAAAACCACATTTTACACACTGGCCCACGACTTGCATATGTGTGTATATATAACTGAAACAGAAGTTTCACAACATTTACCCTTACTACAGATGAGGCACTCTCAGATTTTCTCTCAGATTTTTTTTTTTCCAGGTCACAATCACTAAATTGACTTCACAACTTACTAATGGGTGGGAGCCCAGGGTTTAAAAACCACTTGCTTAGACCAGCGGTTGTCAATTTACTGTGCATATGAATCCTCTGGGGACTTTACGTAAATGGAGATTCTGTTCAGGGGTGTGGGAAGGGTGGGGTCTGAGATTTGCGTTCTAAAAGGCTCCCAGGTGTTGTTGCCGCTGCAGCTCCGTGAGCCACACCGTGAGTAGCAAAGACACCTGTCACACAGCAGTATCTGCTCTGGACTTTAGATCAGAGCAGGAGAGAATCTGATTAATTTAGAACTCTGACAAGAGTCAGGTATGTAAATGTGGCCGTTACATTTCAATTATTCAAT